CCCACTAGGATTCTTCTCTATTCTTCCACTATCTCTCACTTGCCCATTTCCTTCCTCATCTTCCACTCTATCTCTCTTCTAGGAAAGGTCTATGTTCTGTAAAGTTTTCATTTTCCAAAAAAAAGGGTTAAAAAACTCTGACTCTGCCTTCTCAGGAACTCCCACAGCGGCCGGACACCTTCTCGCTGCATACTCCCCCCCTTCCTCCGCTTCTCCGTCCCAGCCGTGCTGCCGGCACACGTTACCAAGTTCCGAGGTGGCACAGTCTCAAGCACAGGCTGTACTCTCTCTCTCTCAGGGGGAGCTGCCCTATGGCTCCCGGTCTCTCTCTCTCTCTTCCACCCTTCCACCCCCGGGCTCAGGCCTACCTCTCCCGGCCACATGGCTTTTCCCCTCCCCCTGCCCAGCCAGCAGCAGGGCCAGGGGAGAGACCCGAACTCTTTCCTGCCCCTCTTGGAAACCCAAGAGACCCTCCCAGGGGAGAGCTCTGCTTTTGGCCCCGTGTTCTCAGAGGCGTGTCCAATGTCCCAATGGCCAGGTTAGATGCCAATATTAAAGCCTGAATATCCATTGGTGCAAACACAGAATCCCCAAAAACACATTTCCAGTAAAACCACCACACGGGGTCAGGCACATGAATATCCAAACTGAAGGGGTCCACGAGTTCCTTTGGCAACAGAGACATCCCAGGTCCTGTCTTGCACTGAGGGCTCTTCTTCTTCTTCACCTGGGTTCTTGCTGTAGGTTCAGAAGAAGCTGTCGACCAGGTACAAGAGAAGAAGTGAGTTAATTGAACTCATGCCTTTTTAATCCAGCCTTCTAATGAGTGAGGAATTCAAAGTGCATTTTAGTTACTGAAAAGATGGCTTGCTTTTTTATTTTTCATGAAACTAGCATCAGTTAAATTTCTCTCAACAATATGGAGCTGCCAAGCCAAGAGAGAAGGGCTCTACTGCTTCATGTGCTGCCCATTGCCTCCCCACTATGACAGGATCACTTTCCTTCCAGACACTTGGGAATTCACAGCACTCTCCAGAATCTGACACTGGCAAGGAAGTCATTGTTTTCAAAAGGAGTTTTCAAGGCCTTTGTTTCTGTAGTTCTCACTCAATTCTAGGTGGGGTGTTGCAGTTTTGGGGATTTTTTATATTACTCTTTACAACAAAGGAAGTTCTGGGACACAAACAATGGCACCATGTGTTAGATGCAAAAGCAGCTTTGCTTTCTCCACTAGATGTGCCCAGTATTCTGCGAGCCTGTATTTGTAGGGAGCAAAGAGCTCCTGCAAAGTTGCACTTGTGCTCTACTTACTTCTTCCAGGGGTTCATTCTCTGCTTTCTTTTCAGCAGAGACACCCAAACCCAAATAAACATGACCTATCTCAAAACAATTCTGATCTTGGCTAATACTGACAAATCAAAATGCCCTTAAAGGAAATAGCTGATGGCCAGTCATTCTCCAATACTCCCCAAAAGAGCTGTTAGAACCAGGAGAACTAATTCTTTACATGGCTTCACAGAGGATAAAATCATGTGGCGGCCAAGCACTATGAGAGGAAAACCTGTCTCAAAAGTGGATTCTTTCACCCTGCAGAATGCTTGGGTCAGTAACAAAAGCAAAACAGGAAAAGAATAATGACATAAGGAATTTCTAGTCAAGAAATAATCCAGGAAAAATGTCACCTTACTGAGTAATACTTCTCTCTAGCTGCATTAGGCATTCCAGCTGCATACCAGCAATGAAGGAGTCAATCCAAAGGGGCCATACCCAGGATTTGGCAGAACTAACCCTAAGCAATGGAACCAGGGGATCTGATCCCTTTTCCTACATCAGCAGAATTAGTTCTCCAAGTCTCATCTCTCCTATCATTACATACCCAGAGATGCCAAAGGAATAACAACACCATCAATGAAGCTTCCAACTTGAAAGCATTGCCTGACCCAGATGCACCAGACCCAGCATTTTGTCTGGCACAATTCCACTTGTCAGGGATCAGGCAAGGCAGCGACATGCACAAAGCATCTCCTGCCCCAGCCTCAGCCTTCAACACTGACACAGGCAGAGACAGCCTGGGAACAGATTTGTCACTGTGACCCTGCCACAGGTGGCTTTGGGACTGTGCTGCCAGAGGATGACAAACTCACACCCTGCCTTGGCTGCATCCCTTTGCAAGTCTCCCTCTCCTTCATTGGAAAAGACAAAAGGACTTTCTGTCACAGGAGGTTTCCCTGTTTCCGACAGTGTCTAACCAGGCAATGTCCATGAATCTCCTTCATATGTCAAGGCGTTCAGCTCAGAAACTACACCAAGGGAAAGCTATTGTCCTTCAACAGCAGGAGGAAGGAGTGGGAACATTTCTCATTTCCTGTTAAATGCCTTCCTTTTCTAGTCTCATTTTGACACTAGAAAGGATGCAGGGAGATCAAAGGCATGTGCAGGATGGAGAGGAATGTTTCCTTTTCCTGCACAGCATTACCAGGATCCCAAGGCAGCACTCCAGCTCCTGCCACTCAACACTTCACACTGGAGGAATTTTCACTGCAACACCAGAGAACACTCCCAGGGACTGGGCTCTGGGAGAGTCCACTGAGCCCAGCAAGGAATTGAAATGAATTCAAAAAAAAAATTCAAACAATGAGTTTTAACCAAACTTTTCAAATGTCACCTCAGAGTCAAGATTCCAATGGTCATTTCAGGACAGACATGCCCGGGACCTACCTGCGTGTTCCGAGGTCTTCTCTTGTCTTCTGCTGCTGGGCCTTGGCCTGGAGAAAATGCAGGACAAAAGAACATATGAGGAGGTAGAAAGAGAAGGGAGGGAATGGGCGTACAAAAAAAGGAGGGAACCCCACTTAGCATGGTCACTCTGATGAAGGAGCAAATGTAACACATAAACCCAACAGGTTTGCAAGGCTGAATAATTGTCCTTAAGCTTTCAGTGGCTGCAATCGCACAGAGCTGGCCAAACTCTGGCTGACAGAAAAGCCAAGTCCAGCAGGGGACCCATCCTGAGGTGCTTTGAAGCCCTGCCTCCTCTTCCCCACCACCACCTCTGCTCTTGGGGCATTGCTGTGGGCTTTGACATTAGATGGGCAAAATGGCGAATACACAGAGGCTTGCCTAAATAGGAGACTGTGCAAAATGACCACAAGAGCTGGGAAGAGTGAGGTGAACAGCACACTGGAGCAGCAGACACCTTGACTTACCTCATCTCCCCAGACTCCTGCAAATCCAGCTGGGGAGAGCTTGGCAAAGACCCCGCAGCACTTCCAACAGGGAGACTGCCTGCCTTGCATATTGGGGGGATCAAAGGCAGTCCAAATGATGCCTTCTTCATTTCCCCACCACTGGGATATGGCAAGGAGGTCTGGAAAGAGTAGAACACAGTAAGGAAAATACGGCTCAGATCAAGCATCCAGCCTTGCTCACATTCATGCCTCAAGACCTTTACATACGCCCTCAACTGGGACCTGACAGGAAAGGACAAGCCAAACTGATGGAGCTGATTGGCACAGGATGGGCAATGGAAAGGGAACTGGTGAGGGACAGACCATTTCCCACATTTGACACCTCTCCCCTCCTGCTCTCTCCTGTGCAAGTGTGGCTGCATTCCCAGCTGCCATCCACATGATTGATATCAAGATGTTCTGGGGTGCCACTTCCCCCACTGGCCTTTGGGATGGCATGGCAGTGGCTGTAGATCACTGTCCTCTCCCAGCCCCTAAGCTGTCTCACAGCCACTGCTGATCTCCAGCCATGGCCCCACCAAGCCATTCTGCAGGATGTCCAAACCTGCTTTTCTCAAGGCCCTCATTTCTTCTGCTGCTGCCCTTCCCTCCTACAGTTCCCCAGCAGCCTCTGAGCCCAGATGCTGCTGAGCTCTCAGCATGCTGGCTGCTCTCCAGCTCCCACACATCCATCAGCTCAGGCTCCCTGGCATTTGGGAAGCTCAGCAGAGCTCCCTGCCCTGCTGCTCTCTGCAAGCTCTCTGCCTGCCCAAGCTGCTCCAGGGCCCGCATGCCATGGCCAGGAATGGGGCTGGAGGCACTGGGGATAGATGCACACCCATCCTTACTATCCCATCATTTCTGGCCTGGCTAAAGAGCCAAATCAGGACCTATTCAAAGTTCACTTAAAGGGTTCAGTTCCTGTCAGGGACACCTTGGGCCCTTTCTCTGCAAGGCTGAAATCAAGAACCCCAGCCTTGGATTACACATTCTCTCTACCAAAGCTGTTGCTCATCTGCCTCCTCCTGCACCCCACGGCAAACCCAAAACAACTGCAGGTCCTGGCCCTGCTGCAAAGGCAGTCGTGTGCCTGGGCTCTGGGCTGCTCTCCCCATGGCCACCTCCCATCCCTTCCCTCTGGACAAAGCCATGCCAGAGCACACAGCTGCCCAGGATCTGATGGAGTCTGGAAACAGTTTCAGAGACAACTGTGCAGAGGGCATGGCTGTACAACTCACAAGCTGAGACAACCTGACCTGGCAGCTTCCAGCAAACACCTTTTTCCATCCAAAGAAGACACAGCTGACACAAAACACCACCAAGACATAGAGATGCTGCATAGATACCCATAGGTTACTAAATGGAGAAGGATTACTTTTCCAGATTGGACAGCTTGTGCTGCTCTGACTGCTTGTTGGTGTTTTCTCAGGCATAAGACAGAGGAGAAACCACGACACAGCCCAGAAACCATTCTGAGACCTCTCCTGGTATTGATACATGCTGAGGACATGAAGTCTGCCCTGCACACCCATTGCAAAGACAGCCTGAAGCGCAGTGTCCAGCTGAGCTGTTCCTTGGCTCAGCTGCTTCCCTACACTCACAGCATAGGAAAAAGTCTCCAAGTTCCCCTACAGCAAATAAACTGAAAATCTACCACACAGGACTTAGCTTGGTCTCTTTACCTTACGTCCTTTTCCCTTGGAACACTGCTCCTGGCTGCTTCTTCTGATATCTTTGAACCCAGGACTAGTTTTCCTTTTCTCATCATCTCCATCATACATTGTGCTTGGCTTGATTGGAGACCTCTCTCGGATGGGACATAAGGGCTTGGAGGGAAGGTGTGAAGAGGACGTGCTTGGGAAGATTCTTGGCAATAGTGGAGCCTGTCAGACCTGCAAAGTGCAGACACAAAATGTAACAGAGTCCACAAAGTAAATGTAAAGTATATTATATTCTCCGTATTTCATGGGACAGATTCTTTGGAAGCTTCTAAACACCTGCACAGGCAAACATGCTCCTGCAGGCAGCTACTTGAATCAGGCCAGGGGGAAACCCTGAGCCACTTCCCCAGAGCTACCACAGGCACAGCCTGGCCTCTGGGCTGCCCTGAGACAGCAGGGAGAGCCAAATCTGGACCTGTTCAAACCTCAGTGAAAGGGTCAGTTCCTTCCAGGGAAAAGGCCTCAGAGCTCTGCTGGCAGCGCATAAACTGAAAATTTACCACACTGGACTTAGATTGGTCTCCTTACCTTACTTCCTTTTTCCTCTGAATTGAGCTCCTGTTTCTTTCAGCTCTCCTCCTCACAGCCAGTGTCAGGTTTCCCACTCTCCTGCTCTCCATGGCACATCTTCCCTGGGATGGTTGAAGGAGAGCTCTTCTGCATGGGAAGCAATGGCTTGGAGGCAAGGAGGATGGAGGGACTTGCCAGGGAAAACCTCTTAGCCAGAGGGTAGCCAGCCAGGCCTGCAAAGTGGAGACACAAAACAGATCAGAGCCTGCAATGCAAACCTAAAGCTCCATATTTCATGGGACATATTCCTTGGAAATTTCTAAACAGCTGCACAGGAAAACATGCTCCTACAGGCAGCTACTTGAAGCAGGCCGGGGGAAAACCCTGAGCCACTTCCCCAGAGCTACCACAGGCACAGCCTGGCCTCTGGGCTGCCCTGGGACAGCAGGGAGCCCAGAGCCCTGTGCTCTCCAGGAACACCTCAGCTGCACAGGCACCCTCCTGCTCCTCTCCCTGCCCCACAGCTCAGCAGCCCTACAGCTGCAGGGGCACTGGCAGCAGCACAGCTCCTTGCAGGGGGCACATGCAGGCCACAGCTCTTCCCTGCCAATGTGCACAGCCTCTCTGGGCTCCACAAGACCCTTCCTCCCATCAGAGAGCAGCCCAGCTCCCACCTCACCTCTGTGTGAGGCTGATCCGGGCTCATGGGGCTCCTGGGCCAAGGCCCTCTGAGGTGGCTGGGAGTCCAGACCTCCATTCTCAAGGCCGGTGTCAGGCACATGAATATCCAAACTGAAGGGATCCATGAGTTCCTTTGGGAACAGAGGCATCCCAGGTCCTGTCTTATACTGAGGGCTCTTTCTTCTTTGTCTGGGTTCTTGCTGTAGTTTCAGAAGAAGCTGTCGACCAGGTGCAAGAGAAGAAGTGAGTTAATTGAACTCATGCCTTTATAATCAGCCCTTCTAATGAGTGAGGAATTCAAAGTGCATTTTAGTTACTGAAAAGATGGCTTGCTTTTTTATTTTTCATGAAACTAGCATCAGTTAAGTTTCTCTCAACAATATGGAGCTGCCAAGCCAAGAGAGAAGGGCTCTACTACTTCATGTGCCGCCTGTTGCCTCCCCACTACGACAGGATCCCTTTCCGTCCAAACACTTGGGAATTCACAGCACTCTCCAGAATCTGACACTGGCAAGGAAGTCATTGTTTTCAAAAGGAGTTTTCAAGGCCTTTGTTTCTGTAGTTCTCACTCAATTCTAGGTCGGGTTTTGCAGTTTTGGGGATTTTTTCTATTACTCTTTATGACAAAGGAAGTTCTGGGACACAAACAATGGCACCACGTCTTAGATGCAAAAGCAGCTTTGCTTTCTCCACTAGATGTGCCCAGTATTCTGCGAGCCTGTATTTGTAGGGAGCAAAGAGCTCCTGCAAAGTTGCATTGTGCTCTACTTATTTCTTCCAGGGGTTCATTCTCTGCTTTCTTTTCAGCAGAGACACCCAAACCCAAATAAACATGACCTGTCTCAAAACAATTCTGATCTTGGCTAATACTGACAATTCAAAATGCCCTTAAAGGAAAGAGCTGATGGCCAGTCATTTTCAAATACTCCCCAAAAGAGCTGTTAGAACCAGGAGAACTAATTCTTTACATGGCTTCACAGAGGATAAAATCATGTGGCGGCCAAGCACTATGAGAGGAAAACCTGTCTCAAAAGTGGATTCCTTCACCCTGCAGAATGCTTGGGTGAGTAACAAAAGGAAAACAGGAAAAGAATAATGACATAAGGAATTTCTAGTCAAGAAATAATCCAGGAAAAATGTCACCTTACTGAGTAATACTTCTCTCTAGCTGCATTAAGCATTCCACTTGCATACCAGCAATGAAGGAGTCATTCCAAAGGGGACATACCCAGGATTTGGCAGAACTAACCCTAAGCCAAGGAACCAGGGGATCTGATCCCTTCCTCTGCATGAGCAGAATTAGTTCTCCAAGTCTCATCTCTCCTATCATTACATACCCAGAGATGCCAAAGGAACAACAACACCATCAATGAGGCTTTCAAAACTTGAAAGCATTGCCAGACCCAGATGCACCAGACCCAGCATTTTGTCTGGCACAATTCCACTTGTCAGGGATCAGGCAAGGCAGGGACAGGCACAAGGCACCTCCTGCCCCAGCCTCAGCCTGCAACACTGACACAGGCAGAGACAGCCAGGGAACAGATTTGTCACTGTGACCCTGCCATAGGTGGCTTTGGGACTGTGCTGTCAGAGGATGACAAACCCACACCCTGCCTCGGCTGCATCCATTTGCAAGTCTCCCTCTTGTTCATTGGAAAAGTCAAAAGGACTTTGTCATAGGAGGTTTCCCTATTTCTGACATTGTCTAACCAGGCAATGTCCATCAATCTCCTTCATATGTCAAAGCGTTCACCTCAGAAACTACACCAGGGAAAGCTATTGTCCTTCAAAATCAGGAGGAAGGAGTGGGAACATTTCTCATTTCCTGCTAAATGCCTTCCTTTTCTAGTCTCATTTTGACACCAGAAAGCCTACAGGGAGATCAAAGGCATGTGCAGGATGGAGAGGAATGTTTCCTTTTCCTGCACAGCATTACCAGGATCCCAAGGCAGCACTCCAGCTCCTGCCACTCAACACTTCACACTGGAGCAATTTTCACTGCAACACCAGAGAACACTCCCAGGGACTGGGCTCTGGGAGAGTCCACTGAGCCCAGCAAGGAATTGAAATTAATTAAAAAAAAAAATTCAAACAATGAGTTTTAACCAAACTTTTCAAATGTCACCTCAGAGTCAAGATTCCAATGGTCATTTCAGGACAGACATGCCCTGGACCTACCTGTGTGTTCCGAGGTCTTCTCTTGTCTTCTGCTGCTGGGCCTTAGCCTGGAGAAAATGCAGGACAAAAGAACATATGAGGAGGTAGAAAGAGAAGGGAGGGAATGGGCGTACAAAAAAAGGAGGGAACCCCACTTAGCATGGTCACTCTGATGAAGGAGTAAATGTAACACATAAACCCAACAGGTTTGCAAGGCTGAATAATTGTCCTTAAGCTTTCAGTGGCTGCAAACACACAGAGCTGGCCAAACTCTGGCTGACAGAAAAGCCAAGTCCAGCAGAGGACCCATCCTGAGGTGCTTTGAAGCCCTGCCTCCTCTTCCCCACCACCACCTCTGCTCTTGGGGCATTGCTGTTGGCTTTGACATTGGATGGGCAAAATGGTGAATACACAGAGGCTTGCCTAAATGGGAGACTGTGCAAACTGACCACAGGAGATGGGAAGAGTGAGGTGAACAGCACACTGCAGCAGCAGACACCTTGGCTTACCTCATCTCCCCGGACTCCTGCAAATCCCGTTGGGGAGAGCTTGGCAGAGACCCCGCAGCACTTCCAACAGGGAGACTGCCTGCCTTGCATATTGGGGGGATCAAAGGCAGTCCAAATGATGCCTTCTTCATTTCCCCACCACTGGGATATGGCAAGGAGGTCTGGGAAGAGTAGGACACAGTAAGTAAAATACGGCTCAGATCAAGCATCCAGCCTTGCTCACATTCATGCCTCAAGACCTTTACATACACCCCCAACTGGGACCTGGCAGGAAAGGACAAGCCAAACTGATGGAGCTGATTGGCACAGGATGGGCAATGGAAAGGGAACTGGTGAGGGACAGACCATTTCCCACATTTGACACCTCTCCCCTCCTGCTCTCTCCTGTGCAAGTGTGGCTGCATTCCCAGCTGGCATTGACGTCAAAATGTTCTGGGGTGCCACTGCCTCCACTGGCCTTTGGGATGGCATGGCAGTGGCTTTAGATCACTGTCCTCTCCCTGCCCCTAAGCTGTCTCACAGCCACTGCTGATCTCCAGCCATGGCCCCACCAAGCCATTCTGAAGGATGTCTAAACCTGCTTTTCTCAAGGCCCTCATTTCTTCTCCTGCTGCCCTTCCCTCCTACATTTCCCCAGCAGCCTTTGAGCCCAGATGCTGCTCAGCTCTCGGCATGCTGGCTGCTCTCCAGCTCCCACACATCCATCAGCTCAGGCTCACTGGCATTTGGGAAGCTCAGCAGAGCTCCCTGCCCTGCTGCTCTCTGCAAGCTCTCTGCCTGCCCAAGCTGCTCCAGGGCCCGCATGCCATGGCCAGGAATGGGGCTGGAGCCACTGGGCGTAGATGCACACCCATCCCTATTATCCCATCATTTCTGGCCTGGCTAAAGAGCCAAGGCAGGGCCTGTTCAAAGTTCACTGAAAGGGTCAATTCCTGTCAGGGATACCTTGGGCCCTTTCTCTGCAAGGCTGAAATCAAGTACCCAAGCCTTGGATTGCACATTCACTCTACCAAAGCTGTTGCTCATCTGCCTCCTCCTGCACCCAACGGCAAACCCAAAACAACTGCACGTCCTGGCCCTGATGCAAAGGCAATCGTGTGCCTGGGCTCTGGGCTGCTCTCCCCATGGCCACCTCCCATCCCTTCCCTCTGGACAAAGCCATGCCAGAGCACACAGCTGCCCAGGATCTGATGGAGTCTGGAAACAGTTTCAGAGACAACTGTGCCAAGGGCATGGCTGTACAACTCACAGGCTGAGACAACCTGACTTGGCAGCTTCCGGCAAACACCTTTTTCCATTCAAAGAAGACACAGCTGACACAGAAAAAACCACCAAGACACACAGGTGCTTCATAGATATATGTAGGTTACTAAATGGAGAAGGATTACTTTTCAAGATTGGACAACTTGTGCTGCTCTGACTGCTTGTTGGTGTTTTCTCAGGCATAAGACAGGAGAAACCACGACACAGCCCAGAAACCATTCTGAGACCTCTCCTGGTATTGATACATGCTGAGGACATGAAGTCTGCCCTGCACACCCATTGCAAAGACAGCCTGAAGCACAGTGTCCAGCTGAGCTTTTCCTTGGCTCAGCTGCTTCCCTGGGCTCACAGCACAGGAAAAGGTCTCCAAGTTCTGCCTACAGCAAATAAACAGAAAATCTACCACGCAGGACTTAGCTTGGTCTCCTTACCTTACATCCTTTTCCCTCGGAACGCTGCTCCTGGCTGCTTCTTCTGATATCTTTGAACCCAGGACTAGTTTTCCTTTTCTCATCATCTCCATCATACATTGTGCTTGGCTTGATTGGAGACCTCTCTCGGATGGGACATAAGGGCTTGGAGGGAAGGTGTGAAGAGGACGTGCCTGGGGAAGATTCTTGGCAATAGTGGAGCCTGTCAGCCCTGCAAAGTGCAGACACAAAATGTAACAGAGTCCACAAAGTAAATCTAAAGCACATTAATCTCCATATTTCATGGGACAGATTCTTTGGAAGCTTCTAAACACCTGCACAGGCAAACATGCTCCTGCAGGCAGCTACTTGAAGCAGGCCAGGGGAAAACCCTGAGCAACTTCCCCAGAGCTACCACAGGCACAGCCTGGCCTCTGGGCTTCCCAGGCACAGCTGGGAGCCCAGAGCCCTGTGCTCTCCAGGAATGCCTCAGCTGCACAGGCACCCTCCTGCTCCTCTCCCTGCCCCACAGCTCAGCAGCCCTACAGCTCCAGGGGCACTGCCAGCAGCACAGCTCCTTGCAGGGGGCACATGCAGGCCACAGCTGTTCCCTGCCAATGTGCACAGCCTCTCTGGGCTCCACAAGACCCTTCCTCCCAACAGAGAGCAGCCCAGCTCCCACCTCACCTCTGTGTGAGGCTGATCTGGGCTCATGGGGCTCCTGGGGCAAGGCCCCCTGAGCTGGCTGGGAGCCCAGACCTCCATTCCCACGGCCGGTGTCAGGCACATGAATATCCAAACTGAAGGGATCCATGAGTTCCTTTGGGAACAGAGGCATCCCAGGTCCTGTCTTCCACTGAGGGCTCTTTTTTTCTTCGTCTGGGTTGTTGCTGTAGGTTCAGAAGAAGCTGTCGACCAGGTACAAGAGAAGAAGTGAGTTAATTGAACTCATGCCTTTTTAATCCAGCCTTCTAATGGGTGAGGAATTCAAAGTGCATTTTAGTTACTGAAAAGATGGCTTGCTTTTTTATTTTTCATGAAACTAGCATCAGTTAAATTTCTCTCAACAATATGGAGCTGCCAAGCCAAGAGAGAAGGGCTCTACTACTTCATGTGCCGCCCGTTGCCTCCCCACTAGGACAGGATCCCTTTCCTTCCAAACACTTGGGAATTCACAGCACTCTCCAGAATCTGACACTGGCAAGGAAGTCATTGTTTTCAAAAGGAGTTTTCAAGGCCTTTGTTCAGGAAAATGCTGAACACCAGAGGCTTGCCTAAATATATGGGAGACTGTGCAAAATGACCACAAGAGCTGGGAAGAGTGAGGTGAACAGCACACTGGAGCAGCAGACACCTTGGCTTACCTCATTTCCCCGGACTCCTGCAAATCCCGTTGGGGAGAGCTTGGCAAAGACCCCGCAGCACTTCCAACAGGGAGACTGCCTGCCTTGCATATTGTGGGGATCAAAGGCAGTCCAAATGATGCCTTCTTCATTTCCCCACCACTGGGCTATGGCAAGGAGGTCTGGAAAGAGTAGAACACAGTAAGGAAAATACGGCTCAGATCAAGCATCCAGCCTTGCTCACATTCATGCCTCAAGACCTTTACATACGCCCCCAATTGGGACCTGGCAGGAAAGGACAAGCCAAACCAATGGAGCTGATTGGCACAGGATGGGCAGTGGAAAGGGAACTGGTGAGGGACAGACCATTTCCCACATTTGACACCTCTCCCCTCCTGCTCTCTCCTGTGCAAGTGTGGCTGCATTCCCAGCTGCCATTGACATCAAGATGTTCTGTGTTGCCACTGCCTCCACTGGCCTTTGGGATGGCATGGCAGTGGCTTTAGATCACTGTCCTCTCCCAGCCCCTAAGCTGTCTCACAGCCACTGCTGATCTCCAGCCATGGCCCCACCAAGCCATTCTGCAGGATGTCTAAACCTGCTTTTCTCAAGGCCCTCATTTCTTCTGCTGCTGCCCTTCCCTCCTACAGTTCCTCAGCAGCCTTTGAGCCCAGATGCTGCTGAGCTCTCGGCATGCTGGCTGCTCTCCTGTCAGACATCGGCCCTGCTCACTGCTTACCTCTGTGTGAGTCTGATCCATGCTTGGTCTTCACCTTGCCCTCAGTCTGGAGTTCCTTCAGGCCCCCCATGCCATGACTAGGATGGGCGATGGAGAGTGGGGGCAGATGCACGTCCTTAGTGTTCTGTCATTTTTGTCCCAGTAACATGTCCCATCCGGAGGTCTCCAACCCAGCACTTCGTCAGCTTTCTGGAGAACTTCAAACCCTCACCAGCCCAAAAGGCTGGAGAGGTTTTCCTGCACATGTGGAGGCTTGCTCTCAGCACACTTTATCAGCTGGGTGCCCATCACCTCGCAGAGGGCACAGGCAAGCTTGGTGACCACAGCGCAGACGTTGGCGCTTCGCACAGGCAGCGCCTTGTTCTCCAGGCAGCACCAGAGCACGGGCAGGGCGTAGCGCTGCACCACGTCAGGGCTCCTGGCATGGACCCATTCCACCAGCACTGCCGGGACAGAGACACAGCTCCTTACCCACCAGCCTCAATGCAAACAAGGATCCACCTCTGATTTTGCTTCTGGCAAGCCTCTCTGGCCAAGAGCAGTGAAATAGCACACAGAGCCCCATGACCCAGAAACGGGCAATGCAGCTGATCATCCTTGAAACAGAACCACCAACCCCTCAGGACTAATTTCTCCAACCAGAGCCTTGTACCTGTGGCAGACTGTACCTTTACTAAATCATTTCACTATTTGTTTCTGCATGAACAATTAATAAAATGTCAAATTGCCTTTTATTTCCATTAACAAGTAGTCTAAATCCACACGGAAGATTTAGAAATGTACCCTAGAGAGGCAATTGAGAGATTTCTAATAAAAGGAATGATTCCATTTTTGTAACTTGATGTCAAGGGCCAGAGGTCTCATCTGGCTCTTCCCTTTGCTCCGTGGCACACAGCAAAGGGCAGTATTAGAACACACTTCAAAACTCCAGCCCACCAGAGATGGCTGCTGCTTGACAGCTGGATGAGAAACATCAGTGCCTAGCTGGTGTCTTTGGCAGAATGCTTTTGTGGCTGCCAACAAAGAGCTCTTTCAAACCTCAGGGTGTCTTAGAGAAACACCCAGACCCCATTGCCCTGGCATTTGGGCATCTCCACATTTCAATGGCATTTCCCCTCTCAATATTAATGGCATTTTTCTTACAATGTCCACTGAAATAGGGGCATAGAGAGAGAGAAAGGCTACACAGGGGACTGAAATTTAGCCGGAACATGAGTGTTTTCTCACATTGTCTCTGGAATTTTCTCTCTGCTCATTTTATGAACTCAACTTATCAAACACAAAAATTTACTATCAACAGGCTCCTTGCATGGCTGATTTGGCTGAGATCAAAACCTGAAATGCTCTGGAGACCAGTCTTATTTTCTGATCAGGCAAAATGTTATGTAGTAGCTATTTATTATTCTGTGGTGGAAGAGACGTCATTATCTCTATGCTATTAATCCACCAGCAGTCATCAACATTCAAACAGCTCCTGAAAGTACCCAAAACCAATTCTGCTAAGCAGGAAAAGGGTTGTGGTACCCATTTTAAAATGGCACTTCATTTGAGTTAAAATGCAATCAAAGACATTGGTCACTATGGACCTTGAGAAGAGCCCCAGTGAGAGCTCAGCCCCGAGGCCGAGCGCTGCCCCCATCTCAGATGCTGCACAGCTCTGCAGCAGCCAGGGAAAGCCTGCCAAATACACCTGCCTTGGCTATTGGGCAGGAGGGACAAGCTCAGCACCTCCTGATGTGGAGGAGCTACTCTGCTGTCTGTCCACAGGCATTCCCTGTCAATACTCCCTCAGAGACCTCTTGGCTTAGAAGGGGAGGCCATACCTGTGATACGCTCTGTGACATCCAGCAGAGCTTCGCCACTCAGTTGGCTCCATTGGTGGCAGAGCTCTTTCATCAGTGACACTTCATCTACAAGTGAAACACACGTTTCTGCTCACTCTTCTGAGGGCATAGGAGAAAGCACAGTGCGGAGGGAAAGGGCAGGGGCAACCCCATTTTGTACAATAAAGGCAATTTCTGATGATTTTTGAATTATTTTCTTCTTTCCTTCCAGCCTTCTTGGCAGGGTTTAAAATTCCAAAAGAAAAGCTCTCCTTTCACATTTGTAAATCCAAAGTTGTCTGCTGGACCAGGAGCTATGTTAAACATTTCACATCAGGGACCTCAAGAGTTCAGTCACTTGGAAGCAGTGCAAAGGTTTTGCATGCCAGAGCAAAAAGGAAGAAGCCCATACTTGGGACACAGAAAGGCACTGAGTCAGGCAGTCCTTGACTTGAAAGAGCAGCTGAGGTGGAGAAAGTGGAAACTGCCCCTGAAGACCTGCTTCTTCAACACTCCATTTTTCAGGCTTATTCCCCCAGTGCAGCATTCTCAGAGCTGACTTAAATCTGTGTGGCAAAGGAATTTACAGCAGCCCTTGCCTAGGCAGGTATTTGCTGTTGCCATCTTGCCCCATCCAAAACAACAAGTGGAACAAGGCATCATTGACAGCTGGACTTAGATCAGTTTGTTCTAAAGAAATGAACTCGGTCAATCATAAGTTTCCCGTTGGAAAAAGAAGACAAAGAAGAAAGGTGGAAAATAGGCAGCTGATGCCAATAATGTAGAGCCTTCCAGGTGGCTGCTCTGCAGAAGCTCTGATGGGCCAGTGTCCCTTCATGCCAACAGCAATGCTGTTCATTTGGGAAGTCAGACGGGGCCCAAGCAAAAAGTCCAGGACTTGCTCTTCAGACCAGTGGCACAGAGCCAAGGGAGCCTGGGACTGTTGGGCAATGCTGCTGCACATTCCAGCCTGTTGGGGATGGTGCATAAGGACTGCACCTGCACAGCTCCTGGTGGGTGTCAGCTGCAGCCTTCCACAGACAGCAACAGCTCCCAAGGCACTCAGCGCTCTCTTGTGTGGGACAGACAGAGACACGGCTGAGGAGAGTCCATGCCAGGGCCCAGCCTTACCTAAATGAGCAACAGATTTGTCCAGTGCCCTCACAGCTGCAGGATGAACCCCGGGATCCTTTGAGTTGAGGTTCTTTGTTATCCCTTCAACCAAACGGATCAGCACCGGGTTCAGGGCATCTTCCAGGAGTCCAATCATTTCTGCCAGCACCTCCAGCGCCTGCTGCTTCACTTTCTTATGTGTGTCATTTATTCTCAGGACAAAATGATCAAAAATCTGTGAAGAGAACAAACAACACGAAAGCTGGATTAAAATGACCTTGTTTGAAGAATATGCAGAAATGAGCACTCAGCAATATAACAGATGAAAGTAATCCTTTCTGTCAGGTCAGCACTTGCTTGCACAATTTCACTGTTTTCCTGTTGGCCACTCACAGGAATGGTTGTGCAACCTGATGCTGCTTGAAAGATTTTCATCTGTTTTTAAGAGTTTTGGCTGGGGACAGAAAAGTTCCTATGGTATCTCTCTCCACCTGTAAATCATTAAATCAATACCATTTATTAATTCAAAAGGCTACCTTTGCTTTTCAAGTATGGAAGCAGGTATTTACCATGCTCATTTTCTTATACAGTTGCCTCAAGTACTGAGGTCAATTATGATTTTGCCAAAACTGTGGCGGGAGGAGATCAAAGTTTTATTTTGTCTGTCTCGGAACCTGTGTCTGCAGAGGGGCAGGCCTCTGGTCAACTCTTCCAGGATCCAGAGCATTGCTCTAAGTAACAGATGGACTTCTGAAATGAAACGTGCTCTAAGCTCTCATTAGAGCAGGTTCAGTCCCTTGACAGCCACAGTATCAGGCACCATTTTCTGGAGAAAGGGAAAAAGCAGCTACTGGGAGGAGAAAGGATAGATCTGTCCTTAGCTGTTTTCCTCCTTTTCCAAAAAGAAAAAAAGGCCCCCCAAGAAGGGTGAGCACCATCTTTACCAAGAGGAATAGGGATGAGGATGGACATGAGTAGCCAGAGTTGTGCCTGTGCAAGACAAGATGGAGTTTACGGAAGTATCCTTTTAAAAACATTTCGTTTAAACCAACCCAGCCTGATACTTCCCTTCCCTATGCCTATTTTCTGTCTAGAGAATAATTGCCATGCTTTCAATGGCTGGATTCCCTTCACTTAACCCAACTGGGAGCAGGAGACAGCAGCAGTTACACCAGCAGAACATTCTGCCATCATCTGATGAACAGCAGCAATAGGCACCTGCCAGCCAAATACAGCTGGACTGAAAGAACTTGTCCTGAAGCCTGGGCCTCAATTACATTTGTCTGGGTAAGAGGCACCAGCCTGTCCCAAACAGCCAGGATGTAGTGCCAAGACACACTGAATTCACTTCACTTCTACAGGCTTGGGAAAGCAGCTAAAGGAAAGGAACCATGAAGATACCCTACATACTTGGACAATGTTACTGGAGATCAGCTGGGGGCTGCTTTTGCACAGATCTAGGAGGAGTGCCACTCCTTCCATGCGTGTCTGAAACCCCTTGGCTTCCAGGAGATGGTAAAGCTTCTGGAGTGACTCCCTTCCTTCCACAGTTGCAGGTAACGTGACCTGGGCTTTTGGACGGTGGAGGAGGCGTCCACCAGGGGCAGACTTCACCCTGCAAAACAAAACCAAATTAGGACCTGTTGCTGGTAAGACCTTCAGTTAATTGTGAGCAAAACATCCTGAGGAGCTTTCCTAATGATGTGATTTCAAGCTAGAAAATCATGAGGCTCTGAAGGACAACGTGGACCTCGTGACAATCATTATGGGAAACAATCTGCAAGTGACATTCTCACCACTGCTCACTCAGGAAAACCAAGGATGAGATGCATCTGATCTATCTTCAGATGCCTTCCAAGGCACACATTGCTTTGTGGGGAAAGAGAGACACTACTTCCAAGTTTAAATGCCTCCTCATATGGCACGTGTGTGTGTGTGTCTTATAATAAGGAAAGTCATCACTCTGAAGAAGTGTCTCTACACCAGGCATGACAATCTGGAAAAGTAGCTCAGATGCATTTGAACAGATGAACAGAGGCATATCTGAAGGATCCAGAAAATCAGGAACAGAGATGGAAACAGAAGCCAGACAGGCCTGAACTACACTCACATTTCATTTGCTTCCCTAGAGACTAGATGCACAGCTTAACAAATCCTCTGGGAATAATCATCTTGGATCAACCTGTCTCTTCCATGAGCACAGGAAGATGCTAGCCATGCTACTGAGGCATGTGATCACTTTCCCGCCACCGCTGAGCAGGACAGAGCTCAATAAACCCCCTCTGGTATCAGAGGAGAACAGATACAAGTAGCTCTGCCACTGGCATGGAAAGACAGCAAGGACCAAATCCCTGTCTTAAATGCTGATTGCAGCACAGGGGGAAATAAACCAAACACACTGTCCATCAAGCAAACTACATGAAGGACAGGAATACCAAGACAAAAACTCCACACTGAGACACCTGCTGACAAAAACGGCTCAGGAATTGACTTGCTCCTTACTACGCAAACTTGGCGCTGTTTGAGGGTAAGAAAACCATGAATCAGCCAGGCCAAACCACATGGATGGGAACTGCTTGTCTGGGGAATGGCATCCTGCTTCTAGACTGGGACTTCTCATTAAAACACCCATCTAAAAAAGACTCCACTTGGATGAAAAAAAAACCCTGGTTGAATTTACTTGTCTCAAGTCAGGCAGCAGAGACTTGGCCCTCTCCTAGCCTCCACAACACTGCCCTTGCCACTGCACTGGATCATCAAGAAGTAGAATACAGAAGTAAACATTTTTTATCCTAGAGCACTCGTAGGGAAAGGAAACAATCTCTGGCACTGGTCATTTCCAGCAGAAAGATTTGCCTGTGGAAGAGGCATGTAGAGCTTGTCATGTGCTTTCTCACATCTGACAAAAGTGCTCAGTACCGTTTGCTAGAGGGCAGTGTGTCCTGGGGCTTCTTCGGGCTGTCGTTCCTCTTCTTCACTGGCTCCTTGACAGAGGGGCATTCAGCCTTCTGGTTTTCCATCCCCTACAAAGACATAAAGAAACCCCATGAATCTTTAGAATATAAAATAGGAAATTCCCTCTTTAAAACACAAGTTAGAACCAGGATCACTGCTACCAAGGCTTAGGGAAACATTTCCTAACGTACAGAAAGAGACAGACCAGAGATTCAGTGATGCCAACTCTTTGGTTTCAATAGCCCAAGGCAGGTTATGGGTGCTACCACACTGAGCAGCAGTCAAAAATCCCAAATTCATTAGTCTTGAGCATAAATGGGAATAATGCAAACTGACAGGCAATGAGTGGTCTTAAAAGAAGCTGCAGAAAAAATTGGACTCAACTTCCATTGTGTTGGAAGTTGATTTGGTTCAAGGCTTACTCTCCCTGCTCCTGCATCAAGGCACACTCCCTTCTGTAATGTAGATGAAAATAATAAAATCCCCCCCAAAACAAACAAACAAATAGTTTTCCACTGGATGCTGCTGAATTGACCAAGCTTCTTCCAGCTCCACAGGGCTTGACAGCACAGCAGTATTCCCAAAAGACAGACAGCAATTTTAGTAACGAGGATTGACTTGGACATCTTTTGTATATTTGGAAATTTCCTTGGCACTACTACTTCCAGTCTCTTTTGCAAAGACTCTGTTATGTTCAGAAGCACTATTCTCACTTAGTTGCATTACTGGGGCAGAGTAGGGAGAGTGTGGTAGGGGCATACACATGAGTGCAAACCCATTCTCTCCTCTTTCCCTTTCCTCTTTGTGACCGATATTCAAAGTATTCAAAACCCCACTTTTCCTCTAATAATAGCAGTTCCTCTGTGGTCTGCAGATGAACAGGCTGAGGATTAACAGCTCATTCCCAGGAGCAAAATGAATCAGCAGAAGTGAAATGAGATAAAGACACATCGGGCATGTTTGATCTCGTATTAGCAGTGGCAATACTTGCACAAAGGAGACATTTCTCCTGCCAAGCACTTACCTTCTTCTTAATTCTTCTCAAAATATCTTCCAGGTCATGTGGGGAAAGAGATTGCTCCAAAAGCTTTTTAAATTTTTGATTATTTAGCAACATCTTCACCATCTCCTGTCCATAATGCCTAAGGAAGGAAGGAAGGAAATGAAAGAAAAGTGAACAAAGGAAGAGTGTTAACAGAAGAGCTGATGCCTTAAACTCATCAGGTGCAATGCTTGCATGAGAAGCCATTACCTACTCAGCAAAGAGGGAGATTTACCTCACTTGACACTGCACAGTGCTGTAGCTGAACACAAGAGGCAGGAGGAGAATGTGGGGCAAGAGAAAAATACCATTTCTCTCTGAAACTGGGGGTGTGCTTCTGTGGGATCAAAGGATCCCAGGGAACAAGCAAAACACATCTGCTTTGTTGTCAGAGCCTGTTAGCAGTGTCCTGCAGTAATTTACCTTTCTCACCTCATGCTTGCTTTTGATTATTCTATACTATGTGTATGCATATGGGAAGCTAGTTGCTCTGGTGTTCTTGCAGCTATTAATGGGAATTTCATCATCAAAGTAAGGGGATTTTGGTGGTTTGGGGTGATTTTTCTGCCAGGAAACCACAGTTTTCTTCAAGAAAAAATTTGGACGTCACTGAGCCACACCTAACAGCATTCTAGAAATCTGAAGAGGTTTAGAAAGACTGAATAGATTGGCTAAAGACCTCTGAAATATTTTTAGGGAGGTCTTAAGTTAATGTGAAACAAATGTTTGGGATCCTTCAGTGATGAACATTAGCCAACACTTTGGCTCTCTCTTGTGCACCTAAAGCAAATCAAAACTGTTGGACTGGCTAATCTGAGCTCTTTTGATCTCTGTAAAGAATCCTTCAAGTCACTGGAAGTTGGTAATGCTCCCTCTTGCTGGCCAGCCTTTGGGTACCCAGTACAGTCATTTCCCCAGGCAACCCAGAGCAGTGGTCACAGCACCAAGCCTGACAGAGCTCAAGAAGCGTTTGGACAATGCTCTCAGGCACATGGAGTGACTCTTGGGCTGTCCTGCACATGGCCAGGAGCTGGACTGGGTGACCCACATGGGTCCCTTCCAACTCAGCATATTCCATGATTCTATGCCCCGTAGCCACACAGTGACATCACTCATTATTTCTTTTCATTTCCATTCTTTTGTGGTTTTATCTTTAAAGCCAAACAGAAAATGGTTTTCCTGGTTTTGGAGGTGAAATGAAGATCATTACCTTGTGTCCTTGTGACAGTCCTGAGCCAGTGTCCCTGCCACGTGTGCCAGCCTCTCAGCCCTGGGGGTGCCTGCGAGCTTGGTGACTCCCATTTTCTCCATCAAGGACAGGAGCAGTTCGGCCGCACACTTCCGCACCTGGACGTAGCGGCTCCTGGGAAGGAGAGAGCAAACCCTGGGGCACGGGGACAAGGAGCAGCAGCAGCACAGGCCTTGGCCAGAGTGTGCTCCCTGGCCTTGCTGGGGGAAGGAGCCTGGGCTCTCCCTGCACCTTCCAACACCTGCAGAAGGTTCTGTCCTCAGATAAACACTAAGTTAGCATTGTACAAAAGGACTGCCTGCACGCAAGAGGGAATAATTCAGTCTCCCTGCACTAGCTGATACTCCATTTCTTTCCCAAAATTTACTCGGAGAAAGATCAAAGTAATAGATCACATATGAATTATTTAGAAATTAAGGACAATTCATGTTGACCCATCAGAGGGCACCCAGTACACAGAGCTGCAGCAGGATGAGGCTCTTTCCACCCATTCATCCCCAAATCTGCAGACCTCTGGGAAAAACAAATGCAGGGAAAACATGCTGTGGGCCATGAACTTGTGGAATACCCAGAAATGCAGCCTGTTTCTTTTGTAAAGCTTGGCAAGGGATACATCTGAGTGTTTTCCCCTATTGCAAAGCTGAGGAAATGGTGGCAGTCAGTTTAGCCAGGTTGTCCTGTTCTATAGAGTGTCTCTTGGGAACTATCAGGCCCAGCACCAACACTTAGGGCAGCATTTGCTTCAGCTGTCCCATGGGCCTCGGCCTGTGAAGATGCCTGGAAAGTGAATCATCATCTCAGAGCTAACATGAAACATCATTTTGAATAGAAAGCAGAGCTCGAAGGCCAGGACACTCATAGAAGACTCCCTTTGGCAGCAGCTACACCTGCTGTGCAGGCTGTGCCACACCCAGCACATTCTCCCCCATGTGCTCCACACCCCAGCAAGGACCCTCCTTATTTCTCAGGTTAATGGCATCATGAGGATACCTGGTTTTCCCCAGGGCCTCTGTGGTTAGCACTGCAAAATACCAACAGTGCTCACAGCTGCAATTGCAATTGTCCCTCTTCCCACAAAAGCACAAGGCTCTAACCTGAGCCTTTGCAGGCACTTGCACTTCCCCACTGTTCACCACATCAAGGAAACCTCTGACAGACTGGTAGAACTCCAGGAAGCAGCAGGAAGCTTATTTAGAGGAGCTTTAGTTTGGATATCAGGAAAGTTTTTCACCCGGAGGGTGCTTGGGCCCTGCAACAGGCTCCCCAGGGCAGTGCTCACAGCACCAAGCCTGACAGAGTTGAAGAAGCATTTGGACAACAGTCTCAGGCACACACTGTGACCCGTGTAAGGCCAGGAGCTGGACTGGATGGTCCTGACAGGCCCCATCCAACTTCCCCTATTCTACAGTTCTGTGATTCTGTGACCTAATGGGCTGCAGGAGGGCAGAAATGGATGACAAGAGGAAAGAAATGAGGTTGATCAGAGAATCGAGTCCCTGAGTCCATAGAAGATGCAGGATACAGGACCCTTCCCTCCCACCATTCCCATTCTCTCTCTTGGATCCCTTCCCCCACCTACACATTGGAAGATGAAGAACATCACTAAAAGAAGAACTTACTTGACTCCCCTGTCTATGAGAGCAGTCATTGCTCGGACAGGAGTCACGTTCTCTACCATCATCCCCAGGCTCTGACAGGCTTCTTTATAAATAAACTCTGGGGAGTTCCACACCACATGGAGAAGGACTGCAGCAACTTCATCCACCTCAGAGTCCATGTCCTTCTTCAAAATGGCGAACAGCTCTCCCAGAGTGACAATTGCTGAGCAGGACACCATGGACCGGAGGTTGGACACCTGGGGAAGTCATGAGGGGAAACATAAGAATCACCTTGAAAAGTAAACCAGTTTCCTTAGACAAAACTCCCAGGAAATCACAGCATGTCCCACTGTGTATAGAGCAACATAAAAGCACAGGAAGAGCAGAAGAGCCCAAGCACAGAAAGGCACTTACTCTGGCACCAATTTCTGGCCTCACACCTGCTTACTGCAGGCATAAAAACATATGTTTCACTAAAGTGTTCTACTTAACCTTTCTATAATGTCAACTGCTTCGATTTTAGGACCTTTGATTTGAAAAACAAAGAAGCAAAATAAAGCATGTTTTCAAACCATAAAGGCACAAGTCATAAAAATGAACCAGTCAGGTGCTTCTGTTCAAAAAAGCAACACCTGTAGTTGAAGCACTCAGACAGCAAACAGAAAACACAGGCTCAGATCTACAGACTCATTGCTGTGTTCAATGACAGCTTGGGCAGAGATTGGGACTCTGGCATATAATGTCATTAGTGTCCCCGTTTCTGCCTTGCATTATAAAGGCACCACACTCAAAGACAAGTGCCAGATACCCGACCTGCCAGTAAATACAGCTGCACATACACACAGACCCTACAGATAGCTGACAGACATTAGAAATAGAAGGTCTAAAACCAGAAATGAAGGCAGTCCCTGAGCACACATGGAGATGAACAAGCACATATCTACTCTACAAGCCATGTATGAAGGATGGGGGACAGTTCAGAACAATGTTCTCACCTCGCTGGTAGCTGCCAAGCAAATCTCACGAAGTCGGCCGAGCAGGACTTCTGGATGGGACTCAGCCAGGCGTGGGATGTTGAAGAGTCCCTTCTTCTTCAGTTCCCTGAAAGACAAGTACCAAAAAGACTGATTTTTCTCTCTACCCAAGAACTAGGCAGCACCCTCTGAAACGACCAGGCTGCCAGCTCAGTCAAAGCATGGGAGGTTCTTTTCAAGGAGCACTTAATGAAATCATGGAACACATTGCCACAGGATGCTGTGGCTGTCAAAAGCATACACAAATCCAAGAGGCAAAGAGAGGGCTTTCAGAGTCTTCATGTGTGGCCTTTCTGAAAATCTCTGCTATTAAGTCCCTCTGCCACTGCTTCCTAGAGCTGTGAGGCTGGGCCATGCTGCTGGTTCTTGTCACCTCCCTGCAGCTGTCCCTGAGACACAGTCCCATTGGGCTGTTACTGGGACAGTATTTTCCTTCTTTGTCAGCCCCAGCAAGCAGTGCAGCCCTGAGAGTCTGCACTGCCACTCTGGAGCTGAGTTTCTGCTCTACAGTCTAGGCCTGTGTGTCACCCACTCCACTCCACCTCACACATTCCCCAAAAATGCAGCAGGATGTCATCCCAGAAGATTAAGATTCCACCCCTGGTCAAGAACTGTTGAAACTCTGGCTTTTCCCACAACACTCCTACCTAAAACAAGCCCCACAACAGCAACATGTTATTTAAAAGGTGCAAACAACTCCAGCTCTCAGCACTTGCTTTGTGCAGGCCCTCAGCCTCAGGAAGGTATGTGAGGCATCAGGGCTGCAGCACAGAGCTGCTGACTGATCCCACGGGCACCCTGAGTGTCATCAGGACCCCCCACACCTGCAGAAGCTCTCTGCACCTCACAGGGCACCAAAGAGAAATGGGGAAGAGAAAGCACAAGAGAAAGGGCAAAGGAGATGTATCGTGGCCAATTTTTCATGCTTATCCCTGTGAAAATGAAGCATCCACCAAAGAGTGGATGCTAACCCAGACATCAAAAAGATAACCAATATCACTTAGCATTTGTAAGGTTATCATCTCTGGGCCTCCTGTCTGTGTAGAATTTTAGGACACATTTTGAGTATTGACAAAATATCTCAGGCCCATATGAAGCAGTGAGAAGGAAAAGTTGAATTCCCAAAGTGCAAGATTCTTAGAGGATTTTATTTCTTTTTCCTTCTCTTCTGCCATGAACCCTTCAGGAATAATGGCGGGCTAAGGGACTTGAAAGCACAACTCAGTCCATTTCTCAAAAAGAGGAGCTCCCTGGAGCTGCTTCTGGGACTCACATGCATGAGAGTCCCTGCCATTGCTGACAGCAGAGGGAGCAAAGAGGAATCTTACTCAGTCCCACTGGGCCAGCAGCCCAAGGCACCCAAATCTCTACACTCAAAACTGCTGCCATCCTGCTTCTGCCTTCAGCCAGCAAATCATCTCATCCCACAGCTTTCTCTCAGCCCTCCACATTTCCTTTGCAGCTCCATGGAGCAGCAGGCAAAGCAAGGAAACAGCACGGACCTGCTGCAGCTGCAGCACTGCTGCAGAGCAAGGCCAAGAAAAGGCTGCTCTCCAATCTTTATGCTCTCCCTGCTCTGCAGGGCTTTCACCAGTGCCCTTTGGCCCTCGGGGCTCTCGGGGCTCTGAGGCATGAGCAAGACACGCTTCTGACCGACCTTAACGCTCCGAGGGACACAGAGGGAACAGCGGGGCCTTTCTTACCAGTCATCGCTGCCCAGCATGGAGAGTGCCTCCTGCAAGGACTTCTGTGGGTCTGAAAAGGTTTTGTCCTTCTGCCCACGCCCACGGAGCGGCTCCTCTCGCCGCTTGGCACCAGTGGCCGTCTGCGGGGTCACTGTAAGGAGAGGGTCGGCCATGGGCGCTGCTGCAGCCCCGGGTGAGGCACCCGCCATGGTGCGGCCTGCAGCCCCATCTCCCAGCCAGGGCTCCTTGTGGCACACACTGCCACTGGCTCAGAGACTTCCCTGCTGCCTGGATCCTGGGGCTCCTTGCTTGCTCCCAGCCTCCCCCAGCTGGCCACAGCTCCAGGCTGAACCTGACAATTGCCCCCACAGCGCCGGCTCCCAAGTGCCACAGGTGCCAGAGCCAGCGGCAGCTTTCTGAGGCCGCAGAGCTCCCGCTCCCTGTGAGACAGGCCCCTCAGGGGCCTCTCTTGTCTCAGCACCCTGATTTCCCCCAACCCAGAGGACAGGGCCACTCTGCACCTCCCTGAGGAAAGACCTGCAGCTGCCTTGTGACAGCACCAAGCCAAGCCTGAACAACCCAGCCCTGCTGGGCCTGGCTCAATCCCCATGGAGCAACAACCAGGGAACAGCCATACCTGACCCTTCCCACCTCACCAGCACCTCTGTTTCCATTGACTTCAAATATTCTAGACTATCAACTTTTGGAGTAACTCAAAAGTAGATTTGCTGTTCATTCTCAGGACAGACTATGGACACAAGATCCTGGCTGTGCTGGCTGAGGCAGGAGGCAGTTTGTGCTCCTTGTGCAAGGAAAAACCCCTGAAAGAAAAAGCTGCCAGGGAGCAGGCTTACCTGAGGAGCTGTGTGGGGAGCTGTCATCCCTGTGGAGGGTGGGTGTACTGGGCAATAAGGGAGTGTTGTCCTGCTTTTTCACAACCTTCTTCTTCATGGCACTACCAGGGGGTTTTCTCTGCATACTAGAAGCTGTGCCATTGACAGGTGGTAGGCTAAAGCCTGCAGGGACCAAAGAGGAGCTTGTAAGTGGAGGGTGCTGGACAAGGTGACAATGGAAAGGGCCAGAAAACTTGCTGGAGCTGAGCAACATCTCTTTGCTATCCCAAAGAACTTCAAGTATAACAATGGCACACTAACATGGGACTGTGATCACTGAATCACAGAATCCCAGAGAGTTTGGGTTGGAAGGCACCTCTAACCACCATCTAGTCCAACCCCTGTGACCAGGGACATCTTCCTCTAGATGAGCTTCCTTAGAGTCCCATGTAAACTGGCCTTGAACACCTTCAAGGATAGACCAACAACAGCTTCTCTGGGCAAATCCTGCCAGCTTTTCATCATCTTCATTTAAAAAAAAATTCTCCCTAGTATCTAACCAAAATCTACCCTCTTCTAGCTTAAAAGCAAACTGCAGTGATGCTTCCCCTGAGAACCAAGAAAAACCCAGTATTGCTTTGCTTTTGCTCTGTTCCAGAGGCAGGCAGGGGCAGTTCCCACAGAAAGTGCAGATAGCCCTGCGTGATGCCCTCGGGCTGAGTGCTGCCTCCTGAGGGCCCTGCTGCCGCCCTCGGGCAGCGCTCACAGCCCTGCAGGCAGAGCCCCTCAGCCGGGATTCAGCCGGGAACGCTGCTTGCCCCTGGGGCTACAACAGAAGCCCTGCCTGGGGCTTCAGCACAGCTCTACAGCGCCAGCTCCTCAGCAGGGAGCGGCAGGAGAAGGATCTCTGGAGGTGAATTTTGTTTCTTCCAGGTTGCAGCCTGGTTGAAAAGCATTCTTTTGGCCTCACCTTCCCTGGAGACTGCTCTCCAGGAGACAGTCTGAAGCCCCAGTGTACTTTGCAAGATAGAATTTTCTACTCTGAAAGAATTTAGAGGTGAAGGTGGGAAGCTGATATTCTCTTAACTGACTCAGTGAGGCCATGGGGAAGACACTTCATACCTCTGTATTTTTCTTTGGGAAACAGAATTAAATCCTAATGCAAGCTTCCACTCAGATGCAAGCAAAACAGCCCCCCAGTGTGACTGCAACAACATGCAAAGGGCAAGCAAGGGGTCAAAAAGGACCACCACATGTGTAGCCACCACTTACTTGCTTCAGCTGCATCCCTGGGCTCCACTGCCTTAGGAGGAAGCTGTGAGGATGTTTCCTTTTGTCTCCTCTTCATCACTTTTTCCAAAAGCTCCATTTTCTTCCACTCTAAGTTCTTTTGAGCCAGCTTGCTCAATGTAGCACGGACCTAGGTGCAATGGAAATACATCACAGACTGTAAGCAGAGACACACAAACCAGACACAGTCCACAGAGTGCCATAGGCTTCAATGCAGCTCCATATACATTCCAATAGTTTCAGAGGAATGTCTCCAGTCCTCACCTTGGCAATTACACACAGTGAGGTGGAACACTGTAGTGCCACAACCTTCCAATGCTGCAACTGCAACCTATGTCAGGAAGCCCTGCTTGAAGCATGAAACTCATAGGAGTGCTCCAAGACAGATGAAGAGCTCACATGACAGTGAGCAGGCAGTTCAGTTCGTACAGGCTATGGCAGGAGAATAAAAACCATGTGCAATACCCAGCAAGGAGGCCTAATGAGCTGTTGCTTAACACTCATGGCCAGCACTTGCAGCTGTTTCTCACCTCCTGGCTTCTGAAGGCCTCAGCTCTCAAGGACTTGGTCTCTGAGACCAGCAGACCAAAAGGAGGAGTCTTGTGAAAACAAGTTGCAGAAGCACTGATGTTCATGAGCAGAAAACTTGAGAGTGAGAGGGCTGTGAGATACAGCCACAAAGGTAACCAGGAAAAATCAAACTCTCCCATTTGATTTTGCAGCCTTGCTTACACTCAACATCAGAATCTTTGCTTCTCTGCTTCCAAGGATGCACTTTGCCCACGTTCACTGATGTGTAGCTTGCTCTGCCATTCAGAACTTCTCTAAAACAGCCTTTGCACATAAAGAATGCTTCTGGCATGACCTTAGCACCATCTCCAAACCAGTGACCGTGGCACCACTGGAAATGGCCAAGCAATCACCCTGGAGTCAAATACATTCCCAAGAGAATCCCCATCCCCCAAGGAGTGGAAGATTATGATTTTCAGTGACATTTTGGGCATAAACAGCCACTGGAAAGGAAGTCTGCTCATCCCTGTCCTATTCCTTACCTTTCCAGAGTTGTCCCTCATACGACCAGGACTGCTGGGATGATCCATCTCCTTGGCCTGGCTCAGTGGGAAGCCTGGGAATGGAAGCAAAGATTCCTGTAAATGTCTGGCAGATTTCAAGCCCCCAAAAATGCCATGCTGGCCAACAGGAAAAACAGGTTCCAGATTGCAGAGCTCTCATAAAACACAGAGATTGGGATTGAGAGCAGCAAGGTACAATCCCAAAACCCTCTCCCGAGGGATGGGCTACTGGCAGCAGACATGACATTACTCTGTTGGCCAGCAGACTGAAACCTGCTGCATGACAAAGGCCTCAGCCCCTGCATGCTGGACAGCCTCTGTGTCTGACAGAGAAGGGCAGAGATGGAGATTGCTCTTGGCAGAGATTCTTATCTGCCCTTATTCATGCTGATTTTAGTAAATATCTTCTATCCAGTTCCTGAAAGAACTCCCAGGTTCTAATACCTGGATGCATTTAGATCAACATTTTCTTCTCTTTGTTGGAATATTTTAGAGGACATTCAAAGAAAAGCCTAGGGTCGCAGGAGTGATACCCAAATGTAAATTGTGTTCTTGACACTAGATAATAAGTTTTCCCCAAGGATTTTCCATCTCAGCTGTATGAGATTGGGCCACTTTGGGGCTAGCCTGACTAGAGGCTGATTTTCTTAATGCAAGTAGAACAACAGAGCTCATTCTGGAAAACACTACATCAGACCTGTTAAAATTCTGAGAACAAATCATTCTATACAACAGCTTCACAGAGGATAAAATAAGGCAGCGAAGTAGAAAAATAACAATGCTGTAAATCCCGAATTTTTTTGCCCCTGCAGAATGACTAGCTTAATAATAAAGGAGAGTAAGATCTGGGTTTTGAGGAAGAAGGGCAATTCTGGACAGAAGGCAAGGTCTTGGAAGGTAAGAGCACCTGGGAAGGTGGCAGGGAAACTACAGATCCCAGGGTAACCTCCTTGGGACCATAGCAGTCAGTCAGGTCTGTAAAATGGACAGACAAAATATAACAGAAAAACTGTGATGCAAAACTAAAGCATCTGAAGCTCCATATTTCATGGGACAGACTTCCTGGAAACTTCTAAACAGCTACACAGGGAAACATGCTCCTGCTGGCAGACACTTGAGGCAGGCCAGGGGAAAACCCTGAGCCACTTCCCCAGAGCTACCACAGGCACAGCCTGGCCTCTGGGCTGCCCTGGGACAGCAGGGAGCCCAGAGCCCTGTGCTCTCCAGGAATGCCTCAGCTGCACAGGCACCCTCCCTGCACCTCTCCCTGCCCCACAGCTCAGCAGCCCTACAGCTGCAGGGGCACTGGCAGCAGCACAGCTCCTTGCAGGGGGCACATGCAGGCCACAGCTGTTCCCTGCCAATGTGCACAGCCTCTCTGGGCTGACACAAGACCCTTCCTCCCAACAGAGAGCAGCCCAGCTCCCACCTCACCTTTTTGTGAGGCTGATCCGGGCTCCTGGGGCTCCTGGGCCAAGGCCCCCTGAGCTGGCTGGGAGCCCAGACCTCCATTCCCAAGGCCAGTGTCAGGCACATGAATATCCAAACTGAAGGGATCCATGAGTTCCTTTGGGAACAGAGGCATCCCAGGTCCTGTCTTCCACTGAGAGCTCTCTTCCTCCTTTCTCTGGGTTTTTGTTGTAGTTTCAGAAGAAGCTGTCGACCAGGTACAAGAGAAGAAGTGAGTTAATTAAACTCATGCCTTCTTAATCCGGTCTTCTAATGGGTGAGGAATTCAAAGTGTATTTTAGTTACTGAAAAGATTGCTTGCTTTTTTATTTTTCATGAAACTAGCATCAGTTAAATTTCTCTCAACAATATGGAGCTGCCAAGCCAAGAGAGAAGGGCTCTACTACTTCATGTGCTGCCCATTGGCTCCCCACTATGACAGGATCAATTCCAAACACTTGGGAATTCACAGCGCTCTCCAGAATCTGACACTGGCAAGGAAGTCATTGTTTTTAAAAGGAGTTTTCAAGGCCTTTGTTTCTGTAGTTCTCACTCAATTCTAGGTCGGGTTTTGCAGTTTTGGGGATTTTTTCTATTACTCTTTATGACAAAGGAAGTTCTGGGACACAAACAATGGCACCACGTCTTAGATGCAAAAGCAGCTTTGCTTTCTCCACTAGATGTGCCCAGTATTCTGCGAGCCTGTATTTGTAGGGAACAAAGAGCTCCTGCAAAGTTGCACTTGTGCTCTACTTACTTCTTCCAGGGGTTCATTCTCTGCTTTCTTTTCAGCATAGACACACAAACCCCAATAAACACGACCTATCTCAAAACAATTCTGATCTTGGCTAATACTGACAATTCAAAATACCCTTAAAGGAAATAGCTGATGGCCAGTCATTCTCAAATACTCCCAAACTGAGCTGTTAGAACCAGGAGAACTAATTCTTTACATGGCTTCACAGAGGATAAAATCATGGGACATCCAAGAACTATGAGAGGAAAACCTGTCTCAAAAGTGGATTCTTTCACTCTGCAGAATGCTTGGGTCAGTAACAAAAGGAAAACAGGAAAGGATTAATGACATAAGTAATTTCTAGTCAAGAAATAATCCAGGAAAAATGTCACCTTACTGAGTAATACTTCTCTCTAGCTGCATTAGGCATTCCACCTGCATACCAGCAATGAAGGAGTCAATCCAAAGGGGCCATACCCAGGATTTGGCAGAACTAACCCTAAGCCAAGGAACCAGGGGATCTGATCCCTTTTCCTACATCAGCAGAATTAGTTCTCCAAGTCTCATCTCTCCTATCATTACACACCCAGAGATGCCAAAGGAACAACAACAGTGTCAATGAAGCTTTCAACTTGAAAGCATTGCCTGACCCAGATGCACCAGACCCAGCATTTTGTCTGGCACAATTCCACTTGTCAGGGATCAGGCAAGGCAGGGACAGGCACAAGGAACAAGGGATCTCCTGCCCCAGCCTGCAACACTGACACAGGCATAGACAGCCAGGGAAGAGATTTGTCATTGTGACCCTGCCATAGGTGGCTTTGGACTGTGCTGTCAGAGGATGACAAACTCTCACCGTGCCTTAGCTGCATCCATTTCCAAGTCTCCCTCTCCTTCATTGGAAAAGTCAAAAGGACTTTCTATCATAGGAGGTTTCCCTATTTCCAACAGTGTCTAACCAGGCAATGTCCATACATCTCCTACATATGTCCAAGCATTCACTTCAGAAACTACACCAAGGAAAGCTATTGTCCCTCAAAAGCAGGAGGAAGGAGTGGGAACATTTCTCATTTCCTGCTAAATGCCTTCCTTTTCTAGTCTCATTTTGACACTAGAAAGCCTGCAGGGAGATCAAAGGCATGTGCAGGATGGAGAGGAATTATTTTCTTTTCAGCGCTGTATTTCCAGGACCCCAAGGTACCACTCCAGCTCCTTCCACTCAACGCTTCACACTGGAGGATTTTTCATTGCAACAACAGAGAACACTGCCAGGTACTGGGCTCTGGGAGAGTCCACTGAGCCCGTCAAGAAATTGAAACGAAATTAAATAAATTTTCGAAAGATTGTGTTTTAACCAAGTTTTCGAAATGTTATCTCTGAGTCAAGATTCCAATGGTCATTTTAGGACAGACATGCCCTGGACCTACCTGAATGTTCAGATGTCTCCTCTGGGCTTATGCTGCTGGATCTTGGCCTGGAGAAAATGGAGGAGAAAAGAACACATGAGGAGGTAGAAAGAGAAGGGAGGGAATGGGTGTACCATGAAAGGAGACAAAGCTACTTAGCATGGTCACTTCTATGAAGGAGGGAATGCAACACATAAACCCAGAAGGATGCAAAGCTGAATAATTGTCCTTAAGCTTTCAGTTGCTGGAGTCACACAGAACTGGCCAAGCCCTGGCTGACAGAAAAGCCAAGTGCAGCAGGGGACCCATCCTGAGGTGCTTTCAAGCCCTGCCTCCTCTTCCCCACCACCACCTCTGCTCTTGGGGCATTGCTGTTGGCTTTGACATCGTGCTGGACCATCAGAGATGGGCAAAATGCTGAACACACAGAGGTTTGCCTAAATACATGGGACAGCTGACTGTGCAAAATGACCCCAGGACATGGGAAGAGTGAGGTGAACAGCACACTGGAGCAGCAGACACCTTGGCTTACCTCACCTCCCGGGACTCCTGCAAATCCAGCTGGGGAGAGATTGGCAAAGACCCCGCAGCACTTCCAACAGGGAGACTGCCTGCCTTGCATATTGGGGGGATCAAAGGCAGTCCAAATGATGCCTTCTTCATTTCCCCACCACTGGGATATGGCAAGGAGGTCTGGAAAGAGCAGAACACAGTGCACTCAGATCAAGCATCCAACCTTGCCCCCATTTATGCCTCAAGACATTTACATCGTGTGCCTGGGCTCTGGGCTGCTCTCCCCATGGCCACCTCCCATCCCTTCCCTCTGGACAAAGCCATGCCAGAGCACACAGCTGCCCAGGACCTGATGGAGTCTGGAAACAGCTTCAGAGACAACTGTGCAGAGGGCATGGCTGTACAACTCACAAGCTGAGACAACCTGACTTGGCAGCTTCCGGCAAACACCTTTTTCCATTCAAAGAAGACACAGCTGACACAAAACACCACCAAGACTTAGAGATGTTTCATAGATACCCATAGGTTACTAAATGGAGAAGGATTGCTTTTCCAGATTGGACAACTTGTGCTGCTCTGACTGCTTGTTGGTGTTTTGTCAGCCATAACACAGAGGAGAAACCAGGACAGAGCCAAGAAACCGTTCAAAGACCTCTCCTGTTATTGATACATGCTGAGGACATGAAGTCTGCCCTGCACACCCATTGCAAAGACAGCCTGAAGCGCAGTGTCCAGCTGAGCTGTTCCTTGGCTCAGCTGCTTCCCTGGGCTCACAGCACAGGAAAAGGTCTCCAAGTTCTGCCTACAACAAATAAACAGAAAATCTACCACGCAGGACTTAGCTTGGTCTCCTTACCTTACGTCCTTTTCCCTCAGAACTCTCCTCCTGGAGGCTTCTTCTGATATTGTTGAAGCCAGTGCTAGCTTTCAGTTTCTCACCATCATAAATAGCACTTGGCTTGTTGGAAGAAGAGGTCTCTTGGATGGGAGGCAGTGGCTTGGGTGGAAGCAGTGAGGAGGGACGTGTCTGTGGAAGACTCTTGGAAATACTGGAGTCAGTCAGGCCTGCAAAGTGGAGACACAAAATGGATCAGAGCCTGCAAAGCAAACCTAAAGCATCTGAAGCTTGGTATTTCATGGGACAGACTTCCTGGAAACTCCTGAACAGCTACACAGGGAAACATGCTCCTGCTGGCAGACACTTGAGGCAGGCCAGGGGAAACCCTGAGCCACTTCCCCAGAGCTGCCACAGGCACAGCCTGGCCTCTGGGCTGCCCTGGGACAGCAGGGAGCCCAGAGCCCTGTGCTCTCCAGGAATGCCTCAGCTGCACATGCACCCTCCTGCTCCTCTCCCTGCCCCACAGCTCAGCAGCCCTACAGCTCCAGGGGCACTGCCAGCAGCACAGCTCCTTGCAGGGGGCACATGCAGGCCACAGCTGTTCCCTGCCAATGTGCACAGCCTCTCTGGGCTGACACAAGAGCCTTCCTCCCAACAGAGAGCGGCCCAGCTACCACCTCACCTTTTTGTGAGGCTGAGCTATTCTCACAAGGCAGGAAGTGAGTTGGGTGAAATCCCACCTATACAATCAATCCATCTCATGGATGAGGCATCCAAGAGGTTTTTTAGTATTCAAAAGATCACTCTGTTTTGAGTTTTTATGAAACTAGCCTCACTACAATTCCTCTGAACTGTATGGGGCTGACAAGCCAGGAGAGAAAGCTTCTACAGCTTTGCTTGTGTGTTGCTCATTGGTCATGTACTAATTTGAAATCCCTTTCCTTCTAAACTGTTGGCAATCCACAGTGGTCTCCAGAATTTGACAATTACACCTAGGAAGTAATTGCTTTCCCAAGCTGCTGTTCATGGCCTTTGTTTCTGTAACTCCCACTCAGTTCTGGGTTGGGCTTTGTTCCTTGCATTTATTTCTCTTCACAACAGAGGAAGTGCTGGCACATAAGCAATGGCACCGCATGTTGGAAGAAGTTTTGCAATCCACATTACATATCCCAGTATTCAAGGAATCTGTATCTGCAGGGAAAAATCTGGCCATCCAACTGCAAATTGCCACTTTTGCTCTGCTTCATTGTTCCATGGGGTTTTTTCTCTGCTTTCTTTCCAGCAGACACAACCAAAACCAATATAAAACAAGACCTGCCTCAAAACATTTCTAATCTTGGCTAACACCAAAAATTCAAAATTTTCGTAATGGAAATCACAGAGGGGAAGTCATTCTGAAATACTCTCCAACAAAGCTGTTAACACTCAGACAGTTAATTCTTTACATGGTTTCACAGAGGACAAAATCATGTGACATCCAAGCTGTTAGAGGAACGCCTATCTTAAAATTGGATTTCTTTCTCTCTGTAAAGTGTCTTGGTCAGTAATCAAAGATACACAGGTATGGATTAATGAGATAAGTCATTCCTAGTCCAGAATTTATCCAGAAAAAATTTTACCTTCTACAATGACCAAAACTTCTCCTTAACTGCATTCAGCATTCCAGTTGCATACCAGCAATGAAGGAATCGTTCCAAGGGGGACATACCCAGGATTTGGCAGAACTAACCCTATGCCAAGGAACCAGGGGATCTGATCCCTTTCTCTGCATCAGCAGAATTAGTTCTCCAAGTCTCATCTCTCCTATCATTACACAGCCCAGACATGCCAAAGGAACAACAACAGTGTCAATGAAGCTTTCAACTTGAAAGCATTGCCTGACCCAGATGCACCAGACCCAGCATTTTGTCTGGCACAATTCCACTTGTCAGGGATCAGGCAAGGCAGGGACAGGCACAAAGCACCTCCTGCCCCAGCCTCAGCCTGCAACACTGACACAGGCAGAGACAGCCTGGAAACAGATTTGTCACTGTGACCCTGCCATAGGTGGCTTTGGGACTGTGCTGTCAGAGGATGACAAACCCACACCCTGCCTCGGCTGCATCCATTTGCAAGTCTCCCTCTCGTTCACTAGAAAAGTCAAAAGGGCTTTCTATCATAGGAGATTTCGCTATTCCTCCCAGTGCAAAACCAGGCAATGTCCATGAATCTCCTTCACATCTCAAAGGTTTCAGAACAGAAAATACCCTAGGGAAAGCTTTTCTCCTTCCACATCAGGTGGAAGGAGTGGGAACATTTCTCATTTCCTGCTAAATGCCTTCCTTTTCTAGTCTCATTTTGACACTAGAAAGGATGCAGGGAGATCAAAGGCATGTGCAGGATGGAGAGGAATGTTTCCTTTTCCTGCACAGCATTACCAGGACCCCAAGGTACCACTCCAGCTCCGGCCACTCAACACTTCACACTGGAGGAATTTTCACTGCAACACCAGAGAACACCCCCAGGGACTGGGCTCTGGGAGAGGTCACTCTGCCCATCAAGGGATGGAAATTTTCAAAACATTTCATTTTAACCAAGCTTTCCAATGGTCACCTCAGAGTTAGGACTAGAAAGGTCATTTTAGGACAGACATGCCCTTTACCTACCAGCATGTTCCAAGAACTTCTCTTCTCTTCTACTGCTGGATCCTGGCCTGGAGAAAATGGAGGACAAAAGAACATATGAGGAGGTAGAATGAGAAGGGAGGGAATGGGCGTTCAATGAAAGGAGGCAAATCTTCTTAGCATGGTCACGTCTATGAATATGGGAATGCAACAACTAAACCAAAGAGGATGCAAAGATGATTAATTGTCCTTAAGCTTTCAGTTGCTGCAGTCACACAGAACTGGCCAAGCTCTGGCTGACAGAAAAGCCAAGTCCAGCAGAGGACCCATCCTGAGGTGCTTTGAAGCCCTGCCCCCTCTTCCCCACCACCACCTCTGCTCTTGGGGCATTGCTGTGGGCTTTGACATTGGATGGGCAAATTGGTGAATACACAGAGGCTTGCCTAAATGGGAGACTGTGCAAAATGACCCCAGGAGATGGGAAGAGTGAGGTGAACAGCACACTGGAGCAGCAGACAACTTGGCTTACCTCATCTTCCCGGACTCCTGCAAATCCAGCTGGGGAGAACTTGGCAAAGATCCCGCAGCACTTCCAACAGGGAGACTGCCTGCCTTGCGAATTGGGGGGATCAAAGGCAGTCCAAATGATGCCTTCTTCATTTCCCCACCACTGGGATATGGCAAGGAGGCCTGGAAAGAGTAGCACACAGTGCGCTCAGATCAAGCATCCAGCCTTGCCCCCATTTATGCCTCAAGACATTTACATAGGCCCTCAACTGGGACCTGGCAAGAATAAACAAGTCAAACCGATGGAGCAGATTGGCACAGGATGGGCAATTGAAAGGGAACTGGTGAGGGAGAGACCATGTCTCACATTTGACACCTCTCCCCACCTGTGCTCTCCTCTGCATGGGTGCCGGCATTCCCAGCTGGTATCCACATGTTTGTGGATAAACTGAAAATCTACCATACAGGACTTCGCTTGATGGCCCTACCGTGTGTCCTTTTCTCTCTGAATTCCGTTCCTGGCTGCTTCTTCCAATATCGTCGTCGCCAGTGCTCATTTCCCCTTTCTCGCCATCAAACATCTTGCTTGGCTTGATGGGAGAAGAGGTCTCTTGGATGGGAGGCAAGGGCTTGGTTGGAAGCAGTGAGGAGGGACGTGTCTGTGGAAGACTCCTGGAAATACTGGAGTCAGTCAGGCCTGCAAAGCGGAGACACAAAATGGATCAGAGCCTGCAATGCAAACCTAAAGCATCTGAAGCCTTGTAGTTCATGGGAGAGACTTCCTGGAAACTCCTGAACAGCTACACAGGGAAACATGCTCCTGCTGGCAGACACTTGAGGCAGGCCAGGGGAAAACCCTGAGCCACTTCCCCAGAGCTGCCACAGGCACAGCCTGGCCTCTGGGCTGCCCTGGGACAGCAGGGAGCCCAGAGCCCTGTGCTCTCCAGGAATGCCTCAGCTGCACATGCACCCTCCTGCTCCTCTCCCTGCCCCACAGCTCAGCAGCCCTACAGCTCCAGGGGCACTGCCAGCAGCACAGCTCCTTGCAGGGGGCACATGCAGGCCACAGCTGTTCCCTGCCAATGTGCACAGCCTCTCTGGGCTGACACAAGAGCCTTCCTCCCAACAGAGAGCGGCCCAGCTCCCACCTCACCTCTGTGTGAGGCTGAGCTATTCTCACAAGGCAAGAAGCGAGTTGGGTGAAGTCCCACCTATACAATAAATCCATCTCATGGATGAGGCATCCAAGAGGTTTTTTAGTATTCAAAAGATCACTCTGTTTTGAGTTTTTATGAAACTAGCCTCACTACAATTCCTCTGAACTGTATGGGGCTGACAAGCCAGGAGAGAAAGCTTCTACAGCTTTGCTTGTGTGTTGCTCATTGGTCATGTACTAATTTGAAATCCCTTTCCTTCTAAACTGTTGGCAATCCACAGTGGTCTCCAGAATTTGACAATTACACCTAGGAAGTAATTGCTTTCCCAAGCTGCTGTTCATGGCCTTTGTTTCTGTAACTCCCACTCAGTTCTGGGTTGGGCTTTGTTCCTTGCATTTATTTCTCTTCACAACAGAGGAAGTGCTGGCACATAAGCAATGGCACCTCATGTTGGAAGAAGTTTTGCAACCCACATTACATATCCCAGTATTCAAGGAATCTGTATCTGCAGGGAAAAATCTGGCCATCCAACTGCAAATTGCCACTTTTGCTCTGCTTCATTGTTCCATGGGGTTTTTTCTCTGCTTTCTTTCCCGCAGACACAACCAAAACCAACATAAAACATGACCTGCCTCAAAACATTTCTAATCTTGGCTAACACTGACAATTCACAATGTTCGTAAGGGAAATCACAGAGGGGAAGTCATTCTGAAATACTCTCCAACAGAGCTGTTAACACGCAGAGAGTTAATGCTTAACATGATTTAACAGAGGATAAAATCCTGTGGCATCCAAGCTGTTAGACAGGAGCGCCTATCTTAAAACTGGATTTCTTTCTCTCTGTAAAATCTTCCAGTCAGTAAAACAGGGGGACAGGTAAGGATTAATGAGATAGGTCATTGGAAGACTCCTTCTCCTTCACTGGAAAATTCAAAAGGGCTTTCTATCATAGGAGGTTTCCCTATTCCTCCCAGTGCAAAACCAGGCAATGTCCATGAATCTCCTACACATCTCAAAGTTGAGCTCAAAAACAGCCGCAAAGGAAAGCTTTATTCTTTCAAAACAAGGAAGAAGGAGTGGGAACATCTCTCATTTCCTGCTAAATGCCTTCCTTTCCTAGTCTCATTTTGACACTAGAAAGGATACAGGGAGATCAAAGGTATGTGCAGGATGGAGAGGAATGTTTCCTTTTCCTGCACAGCATTTGCAGGATCCCATGGTAGCACTCCAGCTCCCGCCACTCAACACTTCACACTGGAGAAATTTTCACTGCAACACCAGAGAACACTCCCAGGGACTGGGCTCTGGTAGAGTTCACTGAGCCCATCAGGGAATTGAAATGAATTTAATGACATTTTTGAAAGAATGGGTTTCAACCAAGCATTCCAAATGTCACCTCTAAGTCAAGATTCCAATGGTCATTTTAGGACAGACATGTCCTGGACCTACCTGAATGTTCAGATGTCTTTTCTCGGCTTACGCTGCTGGGTCTTGGCCTGAAGAAAATGAAGGACAAAAGAACACATGAGGAGGTAGAATGAGGAGGGAGGGAATGGGTGTACAATGAAAGGAGACAAAGCTACTTAGCATGGTCACTTCTATGAAGGAGGGAATGCACCACATATAAACTCAAGAGGATGCAAAGCTGAATAATTGTCCTTAAGCTTTCAGTTGCTGGAATGACGCAGAGCTGGCAAAGCACTGGCTGACAGAAAAGCCAAGTCCAGCAGAGGACCCATCCTGAGGTGCTTTGAAGCCCTGCCTCCTCTTCCCCACCACCACCTCTGCTCTTGGGGCATTGCTGTTGGCTTTGACATTGGGCTGGATCATCAGAGATGGGCAAAATGCTGAACACACAGAGGTTTGCCTAAATACATGGGACAGCTGACTGTGCAAAATGACCCCAGGAGAGTGAGGTGAACAGCACACTGGAGCAGCAGACACCTTGGCTTACCTCATCTCCTGGAACTCCTGCAAGTCCTCCTGGAGAGATGTGCGCCGTGATCCCGCAGCACTGCCAGCACGGAGACTGCCTGCCTTGCATATTACGGGTATCAAGGATTTTCCAAATGCCGCCTTCTTCATTTCCCCACCGCAGTAATAATGCAGAGAGGTCTGGAAAGAACAAATCACATTGATCAGATCAAGCATCCAGCCTTGAATACATTAATGCCTCAAGACAATAATATATGCCCTCAACAGGGACCAAGCAGGAATAAACAAGTCAAACTGAGGGAGGTGATTGGGAAAGGATGCAGAATGGAAAGGGAAGTTGCGAGGGAGAGACCATTTCCCACATTTGACACCACTTCCCTCCTGCTCTCTCCTGTGTAAGTGTGGCTGCATTCCCAGCTGGCATTGACATGAAGATATTCTGGGGTTGCCACTGCCCCCACTGGCCTTTGGGATGGCATGGCAGTGGCTTTAGATCATCACTGTTCTCTCCCTGCCCCTAAGCTGTCTCACAGCCACTGCTGATCTCCAGCCATGGCCCCACAAAGCCATTCTGCAGGATGCCAAAACCTGCTTTTCTCAAGGCCCTCATTTCTTCTGCTGCTGCCCTTCCCTCCTACAGTTCCCCAGCAGCCTTTGAGCCCAGATGCTGCTCAGCTCTCAGCATGCTGGCTGCTCTCCAGCTCCCACACATCCATCAGCTCAGGCTCACTGGCATTTGGGAAGTTCAGCAGAGCTCCCTGCCCTGCTGCTCTCTGCAAGCTCTCTGCCTGCCCAAGCTGCTCCAGGGCCCCCATGCCATGGCCAGGAATGGAGCTGGAGGCACTGGGGATAGATGCACACCCACCCCTAGTATCCCATCATTTCTGGCCCAGATAAGAGCCAAATCAGGACCTGTTCAAAGTTCACTGAAAGGGTCAGTTCTTGTCAGGGCAAAGGTCTCAGAGCTCTGCCAAAAGCACATAAACTGAAAATTTACTACACTGGACTTAGCTTGGTCTCCTTACCTGACATCCTTTTTCCTCAGAAGTGATCTCTTTCCCACTAATCTCCTCATCCCAGCCGCTGCCAAGTTTCCCACTCTCCTGCTCTCTACTCCATATCTTGCTTGCCATGGGAGAAAGAGAGCTCTTGGGGATGGGAAGCAACGGCTTGGAGGGAAGGAGCATTGATGGACTTGCCAAAGGAAACCTCTTGGCAAGAGGGTATCGAGTCAGGCCTGCAAAGTGGAGACACAAAATGGATCAGAGCCTGCAATGCAAACCTAAAGCATCTGGAGCTCTGTATTTCATGGGACACATTGCTTGGAAGCTTCTAAACACCTGCACAGGGAAACATGCTCTGAATGGCAGACACTTGAATCAGGCCAGGGGAAAACCCTGAGCCACTTCCCCAGAGCTGCCACAGGCACAGCCTGGCCTCTGGGCTGCCCTGGGACAGCAGGGAGCCCAGAGCCTGTGCTCTCCAGGAATGCCTCAGCTGCACAGGCACCCTCCTGCTCCTCTCCCTGCCCCACAGCTCAGCAGCCCTGCAGCTCCCTGCTATCCACACCTTTTCCTTCCGTGGCCTTTGCTTTTCTGCTGAAATCCAGCTTCAAACCCGTGCTTCTGCCAGGCAGAAGTGTCAGGGTTTGAATCTGGGATGGCTCTGGGAGGTGGCAGTGACGGGAGCTTGGTACCCAGCCTTAGAACAAGGCCTAAGGGTGACTCCAATCGCCAGCGCTTGGCACAGAGAGGCAGAGCCAGACGTGTCTGCTGCCACTGGGGCCGTGTCAAGCACAACCTGCACCAGCCCAGCCTGGGGCTGCCCCTTTGGGACACGCTCCCCATCCTACTCTCATTTCCATGGCTGCAAAACCCCACCCCAACTCCATCCCCTTCCATTCCCTTCCCAAGCCCTGCCAGCCCTAAGCCCAGTCTGGCCAGGCCTGAGGCTTTCATACAGTCTAGGATGGAGAACCCTTCCCAAAGCTACTTTTCAAGGCCTTGAATTCTGTAATTCCCTCTCAGTTCTGGGTTGCAGATTTTTGCTGTGGGAATTTGTTTATTTCTCTTCATATCAAACAAAGTGCTGGGAAACACACAATGGCACCAGGCGGTGGAAGTAAAAGCAGCTTTGCACTCTCTGTGGATGAGCCCAGAATTCTGTTGTCTGAGAGGTGTAAGGAACAAATTGACCATCCAACATTCCTCTTTTGCTCTACTTCAGTGTTCTAGGGGTGTTTTTCCGGGTGTTCTTTCTTGAAGTTACCAGAACTCAACATAAACGCTATCTCCCTCAAAACATTTCTGATCTTGGCTAATGCTGGCAATTGAAATTTTTCTTAATGGAAAGAGTGGAGGGCACGTCATTCTGAAATACTTTCAACAGTTCAGTTGGGGGGTAAGAGAACAAATTCTTTGCATGGTTCCACAGAGGGTTATACCATGTGGCATCCAAGATGATGAGAGGAATAGCACTCTTAAAACAGGATTTCTTTCCCTCTGTAAAATGTCCCAGTCAGTAATCAAAGACACACCAGTATGGATTAATGAAATAAGTCATTCCTAGTCCAGAATTAATCCAGAACAAATTTACAACTTCTTCAATACTTCTCCTTAACTGCAAACAGCATTCCACTTGCATACCAGAAATGAAGGAGTCGTTCCAAAGGGGCCATACCCAGGATTTGGCAGAACTAACCCTAAGCCAAGGAACCAGGGGATCTGATCCCTTCCTCTGCATCAGCAGAATTAGTTCTCCAAGTCTCATCTCTCCTATCATTACACACCCAGAGATGCCAGAGGAACAACAACAGCATCAATGAGGCTTTCAACTCGGAAGCATTGCCTGACCCAGATGCACCAGACCCAGCATTTTGTCTGGCACAATTCCACTTGTCAGGGATCAGGCAAGGCAGGGACAGGCACAAGGCATCTCCTGCCCCAGCCTCAGCCTGCAACACTGACACAGGCAGAGACAGCCAGGGAACAGATTTGTCACTGTGACCCTGCCATAGGTGGCTTTGGGACTGTGCTGTCAGAGGATGACAAACTCACACCCTGCCTAGGCTGCATCTATTTCGAAGTCTCCTTCTCCTTCATTGGAAAACTCAAAAGGACTTTCTGTCATAGGAGGTTTCCCTATTTCTCCCAGTGCAAAACCAGGCAATGTCCATACATCTCCTTCAAATCTCAAAGGTTTCAAATCAGAAAAGACCCCCAAGGAAAGGTTTTCTCCTTCAATGGCAAGTGAAAGGAGTGGGAACATTTCTCATTTCCTGCTAAATGCCTTCCTTTTCTAGTCTCATTTTGACACTAGAAAGGATGCAGGGAGATCAAAGGCATGTGCAGGATGGAGAGGAATGTTTCCTTTTCCTGCACAGCATTACCAGGACCCCAAGGTACCACTCCAGCTCCTGACACTCAACTCTTCACACTGGAGGAATTTTCACTGCAACACCAGAGAACACTGCCAGGGACTGGGCTCTGGGAGAGTCCACTGAGCCCAGCAAGGAATTGAAATGAATTTAAAGAAATTTTTGAAAGTATAGGTTTCAACCGAGCTTTCCAATGGTCACCTCAGAGTCAAGACTAAAAATGTCATTTTAGGACAGACATGTCCTGGACCTACCTGAATGTTCAGAGGACTTGACTTGGCTTGTGCTGCTGGACTCTGGCCTGAAGAAAATGGAGGACAAAAGAACATATGAGGAGGTAGAATGAGAAGGGAGGGAATGGGCGTACAATGAAAGGAGGCAACCCCACTAAGCATGGTCACTTCTTTTAAGGAGGGAATGCAACACATAAACCCAGAAGGATGCAAAGCTGAATAATTGTCCTTAAGCTTTCAGTCGCTGGAATGACACAGAACTGGCCAAGCTCTGGCTGACAGAAAAGCCAAGTGCAGCAGGGGACCCATCCTGAGGTGCTTTGAAGCCCTGCCTCCTCTTCCCCACCACCACCTCTGCTCTTGGGGCATTGCTGTTGGCTTTGACATTGGGCTGGATCAGCAGAGATGGGCAAAATGCTGAACACACAGAGGCTTGCCTAAATACATGGGACAGCTGACTGGGCAAAATGACCCCAGGAGATGGGAAGAATGAGGTGAACAGCACACTGGAGCAGCAGACACCTTGGCTTACCTCATCTCCCCAGACTGCTGGAAATCCCCTTGGGGAGAGCTTGGCAAAAACCCCGCAGCACTGCCAACAGGGAGACTGCCTGCCTTGCGCATCACAGGAATCAAAGATTTTCCAAATGACCCCATCTTCATTTCTCCATCACTGGTATATGGCAAGGAGGTCTAGAAGGTATAAAACACAGTGCTCAGAACAAGCATCCAGCCTTGCCCACATTCATGCCACAAGACATTGAGATAAGCCCTCAACTGGGACCTGGCCGGAATAAACAAGACAAACTGATGGAGGAAATTGGAAAAGGACGGGCAATGGAAAGGGAAATGATGAGCGACAGAACATGTCCCACATTTATGAGCACTCTGCCTTCTCATTTCCCTGGAAATGAGGCTACATCACCAGCTGCCATCCCCATGTTTGATATCAAGATGTTCTGGGGTTGCCACTGCCTCCACTGGCCTTTGGGATGGCATGGCAGTGGCTTTAGATCACTGGCCTCTCCCTGCCCCTAAGGTGTCTCACAGCCACTGCTGATCTCCAGCCATGGCCCCACAAAGCCATTCTGCAGGATGTCTAAACCTGCTTTTCTCAAGGCCCTCATTTCTTCTGCTGCTGCCCTTCCCTCCTACAGTTCCCCAGCAGCCTTTGAGCCCAGATGCTGCTCAGCTCTCAGCATGCTGGCTGCTCTCCAGCTCCCACACATCCATCAGCTCAGGCTCCCTGGCATTTGGGAAGCTCAGCAGAGCTCCCTGCCCTGCTGCTCTCTGCAAGTTCTCTGCCTGCCCAAGCTGCTCCAGGGTCCCCATGCCATGGCCAGGAATGGGGCTGGAGCCACTGGGCGTAGATGCACACCCACCCCTAGTATCCCATCATTTCTGGCCCAGCTAAAGAGTCAAATCAGGGCCTGTTCAACTTGACTGAACGGGTCAATTCCTGTCAGGGAAAAGGTCTCAGAGCTCTGCCAAAAGCACATAAACTGAAAATTTACTACACTGGACGTAGCTTCGTCTCCTTACCTTACATCCTTTTTCCACAGAAATGAGCTGTTTCCTTCTAATCTCTTCATCCCAGCCGCTGCCAAGTTTCCCACTCTCCTGCACTCTACTCCGTATCTTCCTTGCCAGGGGAGAAAGAGAGCTCTTGGGGATGGGAAGCAACGGCTTGGAGGGAATGAGCATTGATGGATTTGCCAAAGATAACCCCTTGGCAAGAGGGTATCCAGTCAGGCCTGCAAAGTGGAGACACAAAATGGATCAGAGCCTGCAATGCAAACCTAAAGCATCTGAAGCTCCATATTTCATGGGACATATTCCTTGAAAACTTCTAAACACCTGCACAGGGAAACATGCTCTTCAGGTAACATCCATCTTCAAACCTGTGCTTCTACCTGGCAGAAGTGTCTGGGTTTGAATCTGGGATGGCTCTGGGAGGTGGCAGTGACGGGAGCTTGGTACCCAGCCTTAGAACAAGGCCTAAGGGTGACTCCAATCGCCAGCGCTTGGCACAGAGAGGCAGAGCCAGACGCGTCTGCTGCCACTGGGGCCGTGTCAAGCACAACCTGCACCAGCCCAGCCTAGGGTTGCCCCTTTGGGACACGCTCCCCATTCTACTCTCATTTCCATGGCTGCAAAACCCCAATCCAAGTCCATCCCCTTCCATTCCCTTCCCAAGCCCTGCCAGGCCTAAGCCTGGCCTGGCCAGGCCTGAGGCTTTCACACTGTCTAGGATGTAGACCCTTCCCAAAGCTGCTTTTCAAGGCCTAATTTCTGTAATTGCCTCTCAGTTCTGGCTTGCAGCTTGTTGGTGTGAGATTTTGTTAAGTTACTTTCGCATCAAAGTGCTGGGACACAAACAATGGCATCAGTCAGTGGAAGAAAAAGCAGATTTGCACACCACTGTGGATGAGCCCAAAATTCAGTTGGCCAAGAGCTGTAGAGAACAAATTGACAATCCAAAAATTCCTCTTTTGCTCTACTTCATTGTTCCAGGGGTTTATTCTCTGCTTTCTTTTTAGCGGAGACACCCATACCCAACAGAAACATGACCCATGCCAAAACAATTCTTATCTTGGCTAATACTGACAATTCAAGATGTCCTTAATGGAAACAGCTGATGGCAAGTCATTCAGTACTCGTCCCCAACACAGCTAATTATTTACATGCTTCCACAGAGGGTTAAACCATGTGGCATCCAAGACTATGAGAGGAATACCTGTTTTAAAACTGGATTCCTTTCCCTCTGTAAAATGTCCCAGTCAGTAATCAAAGACACACCAGCATGGATTAATGAAATAAGTCATTCCTAGTCCAGAATTAATCCAGAACAAATTTTACCTTTTACAATGACCAATACTTCTCCTTAACTGCAATCAGCATTCCACTTGCATACCAGAAATGAACGAGTCGTTCTAAAGGGGCCATACCCAGGATTTGGCAGAACTAACCCTAAGCAATGGAACCAGGGGATCTGATCCTTTTGTCTGCATGAGCAGAATTAGTTCTCCAAGTCTCATCTCTCCTATCATTACACTGCCCAGAGGTGCCAAAGGAACAACAACAGCATCAATGAGGCTTTCAACTTGAAAGCATTGCCTGACCCAGATGCACCAGACCCAGCATTTTGTCTGGCACAATTCCACTTGTCAGGGATCAGGCAAGGCAGGGACAGGCACAAGGCATCTCCTGCCCCAGCCTCAGCCTGCAACACTGACACAGGCAGAGACAGCCTGGGAACAGATTTGTCACTGTGACCCTGCCATAGGTGGCTTTGGGACTGTGCTGTCAGAGGATGACAAACTCACACCCTGCCTAGGCTGCATCCATTCGCAAGTCTCCCTCACCTTAATTGGCAAAGGCAAAAAGACTTTCTGTCATAGGAGTTTTCCCTATCCCTTCCGGTGCAAAACCAGGCCATGTCCATGAACCTCCTTCACAATTCAAAGAGTTCAGATCAAAAACATCTGCAAAGGAAAGCTTTTCTCCTTCAAAAGCATATGGAAGGAGAGGGAACATTTCTCATTTCCTGCTAAATGCCTTCCTTTTCTAGTCTCATTTTGACACTAGAAAGGATGCAGGGAGATAAAAGGCATGTACAGGATGGAGAGGAATGTTTGCTTTTCAGCGCTGCATTTCCAGGACCCCTAGGTACCACTCCAGCCCCTGCCACTCAACACTTCACACTTGGAGGAATTTTCACTGCAACACCAGAGAACACTCCCAAGGGACTGGGCTCTGGTAGAGTCCACTAAGCCCATCAGGGAATTGAAATGAATTTAATGACATTTTTGAAAGAATGGGTTCCAACTAAGCTTTCCAAATGTCACATCTAAGTGAAGATTCCAATGGTCATTTTAGGACAGACATGCCTTGAACCTACCTGAATGTTCAGAGGTCTTCTCTTGGCTTGTGCTGCTGGACTCTGGCCTGAAGAAAATGGAGGTGGAAAGAACACATGAGGAGGTAGAATAAGGAGGGAGGGAATGGGTGTACAATGAAAGGAGGCAACCCCACTAAGCATGGTCACTTCTATGAAGGAGGGAATGCAACACATAAACCCAGAAGGATGCAAAGCTGAATAATTGTCCTTAAGCTTCCAGATGCTGGAGTCACATAAAAACGGCCAAACTCTGGCTGACAGAAAAGCCAAGTGCAGCAGGGGACCCATCCTGAGGTGCTTTGAAGCCCTGCCTCCTCTTCCCCACCATCACCTCTGCTCTTGGGGCATTGCTGTTGGCTTTGACATTGGGTGGATCAGCAGAGATGGGCAAAATGCTGAACACACAGAGGTTTGCCTAAATCCATGGGACAGCTGACTGTGCAAAATGACCACAGGAGATGGGAAGAGTGAGGTGAACAGCACACTGGAGCAGCAGACACCTTGGCTTACCTCATCTCCCCGGACTCCTGCAAATCCACCTTGAGGGATCTGCGCAGAGACCCCGCAGCACTGCCAACAGGGAGACTGCCTGCCTTGCGCATCACAGGGATCAGAGATTTTCCAAATGACCCCTTCTTCATTTTCCCAGTGCTGGAATAACGCAAGGAGGTCTGGAAAGAGCAAATCACAAAGCTCAGGTCAAGCATCCAGCCTTGCCCACATTCATGCCTCTAGACATTTACATAGGCCCTCAACAGGGACCTGGCAGGAAAGGAAAAGCCAAACTGATGGAGCTGATTGGGAAAGGAATCAGAATGCAAAGGGAACTGGTAAGGGACAGATCATTTCACACATTTGACACCTCTCCCCTCCTGCTCTCTCCTGTGCAAGTGTGGCTGCATTCCCAGCTGCCATTGACATCAAGATGTTCTGGGGTTGCCGCTGCCTCCACTGGCCTTTGGGATGGCATGGCAGTGGCTTTAGATCACTGTCCTCTCCCAGCCCCTAAGGTGTCTCACAGCCACTGCTGATCTCCAGCCATGGCCCCACAAAGCCATTCTGCAGGATGCCAAAACCTGCTTTTCTCAAGGCCCTCATTTCTTCTGCTGCCACCCTTCCCTCCTACAGTTCCCCAGCAGCCTTTGAGCCCAGATGCTGCTCAGCTCTCGGCATGCTGGCTGCTCTCCAGCTCCCACACATCCATCAGCTCAGGCTCACTGGCATTTGGGAAGTTCAGCAGAGCTCCCTGCCCTGCTGCTCTCTGCAAGCTCTCTGCCTGCCCAAGCTGCTCCACGGCCCCCATGCCATGGCCAGGAATGGGGCTGGAGGCACTGGGGATAGATGCACACCCACCCCTAGTATCCCATCATTGCTGGCCCAGCTAAAGAGCCAAGGCAGGGCCTGTTCATAGTTCACTGAAAGGGTCAGTTCTTGTCAGGGCAAAGGTCTCAGAGCTCTGCCAACAGCACATAAAATGAAAATTTAGTACACTGGACTTAGCCTGGTCTCCTTACCTTACTTCCTTTTTCCTCAGAAGTCATCTCTTTGCCTCTAATCTCCTCATCCCAGCCGCTGCCAAGTTTCCCACTCTCCTGCTCTCTACTCCGTATCTTGTTTGCCATGGGAGAAAGAGAGCTCTTGGGGATGGGAAGCAACGGCTTGGAGGGAATGAGCACAGAAGGACCTGCCAGGGAAAGCCTCTTGGCAAGAGGGTATCGAGTCAGGCCTGCAAAGTGGAAACACAAAATGGATCAGAGCCTGCAATGCAAACCTAAAGCATCTGGAGCTCCATATTTCATGGGACACATTGCTTGGAAATTTCTAAACACCTGCACAGGGAAACATGCTCTGAATGGCAGACACTTGAATCAGGCCAGGGGAAACACCTGAGCCACTTCCCCAGAGCTGCCACAGGCACAGCCTGGCCTCTGGGCTGCCCTGGGACAGCAGGGAGCCCAGAGCCCTGTGCTCTCTAGGAATGCCTCAGCTGCACATGCACCCTCTTGCTCTCCCTGCCCCACAGCTCAGCAGCCCTGCAGCTCCCTTCTATCCACACCTTTTTCCTCCGTGGCCTTTGCTTTTCTGCTGAAATACATCTTCAAACCTGTACTTCTGCCAGGCAGAAGTGTCTGGGTTTGAATCTGGGATGGCTCTGGGAGGTGGCAGTGATGGGAGCTTGGTACCCAGCCTTAGAACAAGGCCTAAGGGTGATTCCAAGCGCCAGCGCTCGGCACAGAGAGGCAGAGCCAGACGTGTCTGCTGCCACTGGGGCCGTGTCAAGCACAACCTGCACCAGCCCAGCCTGGGCCTGCCCTTTTGTGTCATGCTCCCCATGCTACTCTCATTACCATGGCTGCAAGACCCCACCCCAACTCCATCCCCTTCCATTCCCTTCCCAAGCCCTGCCAGCCCTAAGCCCGGCCTAGCCAGGCTTTCACACTGTCTAGGATGTAGACGCTTCCCAAAGCTGCTTTTCAAGGCCTTGAATTCTGTAATTCCCACTCAGTTCTGGGTTGCAGCTTGTTGTGGTGGGCATCGGTCAGTGGAAGTAAAAGCAGCTTTGCACTCCCCAGTGGATAAGCCCAAAATTCAGTTGGCCAAGAGCTGTAGGGAACAAATTGACCATCCAAGAATTCCTCTTTTGCTCTACTTCAGTGTTCCAGGGGTTTATTCTCTGCTTTCTTTTCAGCAGAGACACCCATACCCAACAGAAACATGACCTGTCCCAAAACAATTCTTAACTTGGCTAATACTGACAATTCAAGATGTCCTTAATGGAAACAGCTGAAGGCCAGTCATTCTGTACTAGTCCCCAACACAGCTAATTATTTACATGCTTCCACAGAGGGCTAAAGCATGTGGCATCCAAGACTATGAAAGGAATACCTGTCTTAAAACTGGATTCCTTTCCCTCTGTAAAATGTCCCAGTCAGTAATCAAAGACACACCAGTATGGATTAATAAGTCATTCCTAGTCCAGAATTTATCCAGAAAAAAATTTACCTTCAACAATGACCAATACTTCTCCTTAACTGCAATCAGCATTCCACTTGCATACCAGCAGGGAAGGAATCGTTCCAAAGGGGCCATACCCAGGATTTGGCAGAACTAACCCTACGCCAAGGAACCAGGGGATCTGATCCCTTTTCCTGCATCAGCAGAATTAGTTCTCCAAGTCTCATCTCTCCTATCATTACACAGCCCAGAGATGCCAAAGGAACAACAACAGTGTCAATGAGGCTTTCAACTTGAAAGCATTGCCTGACCCAGATGCACCAGACCCAGCATTTTGTCTGGCACAATTCCACTTGTCAGGGATCAGGCAAGGCAGGGACAGGCACAAGGCATCTCCTGCCCCAGCCTCAGCCTGCAACACTGACACAGGCAGAGACAGCCTGGGAACAGATTTGTCACTGTGACCCTGCCATAGGTGGCTTTGGGACTGTGCTGTCAGAGGATGACAAACTCACACCCTGCCTAGGCTGCATCCATTTGCAAGTCTCCCTCACCTTAATTGGCAAAGGCAAAAAGACTTTCTGTCATAGGAGTTTTCCCTATCCCTTCCGGTGCAAAACCAGGCCATGTCCATGAACCTCCTCCACAATTCAAAGAGTTCAGATCAAAAACAGCTGCAAAGGAAAGCTTTTCTCCTTCAAAAGCATATGGAAGGAGAGGGAACATTTCTCATTTCCTGCTAAATGCCTTCCTTTTCTAGTCTCATTTTGACACTAGAAAGGATGCAGGGAGATAAAAGGCATGTACAGGATGGAGAGGAATGTTTGCTTTTCAGCGCTGCATTTCCAGGACCCCTAGGTACCACTCCAGCCCCTGCCACTCAACACTTCACACTTGGAGGAATTTTCACTGCAGCACCAGAGAACACTCCCTAGGGACTGGGCTCTGGGAGAGTCCACTAAGCACACCAGGGAATTGAAATGAATTTAATGACATTTTTGAAAGAATGGGTTCCAACTAAGCTTTCCAAATGTCACATCTAAGTCAAGATTCCAATGGTCATTTTAGGACAGATATGCCATGAACCTACCTGAATGTTCAGAGGGCTTCTCTTGGCTTGTGCTGCTGGACTCTGGCCTGAAGAAAATGGAGGTGGAAAGAACACATGAGGAGGTAGAATAAGGAGGGAGGGAATGGGTGTACAATGAAAGGAGACAAAGCTACTTAGCAGGGTCACTTCTATGAAGGAGGGAATGCAACACATAAACCCAGAAAGATGCAAAGCTGAATAATTGTCCTTAAGCTTTCAGATGCTGGAGTCAAATAAAAACGGCCAAACTCTGGCTGACAGAAAAGCCAAGTGCAGCAGGGGACCCATCCTGAGGTGCTTTGAAGCCCTGCCTCCTCTTCCCCACCACCACCTCTGCTCTTGGGGCATTGCTGTTGGCTTTGACATTGGGTGGATCAGCAGAGATGGGCAAAATGCTGAACACACAGAGGTTTGCCTAAATACATGGGACAGCTGACTGTGCAAAATGACCACAGGAGATGGGAAGAGTGAGGTGAACAGCACACTGGAGCAGCAGACACCTTGGCTTACCTCATCTCCCCGGACTCCTGCAAATCCACCTTGAGGGATCTGCGCAGAGACCCCGCAGCACTGCCAACAGGGAGACTGCCTGCCTTGCGCATCACAGGGATCAGAGATTTTCCAAATGACCCCTTCTTCATTTGCCCAGCACAGGAATAATGCAAGGAGGTCTGGAAAGAGTAGAACACAGTGCTCAGGTCAAGCATCCAGCCTTGCCCACATTCATGCCTCAAGATATTTACATAGGCCCTCAACTGGGACCTGGCAGGAAAGGAAAAGCCAAACTGATGGAGCAGATTGGGAAAGGAATCAGAAAGCAAAGGGAACTGGTGAGAGACAGACCCTGTCACATATTTTACACCGCCCCACTCATGCTCTCTCCGGGTCAAGTGTGGCTGCATTCCCAGCTGGCATCCACATGATTGATATCAAGATGTTCTGGGGTTGCCACTGCTTCCACTGGCCTTTGGGATGGCATGGCAGTGGCTTTAGATCACTGTCCTCTCCCTGCCCCTAAGCTGTCTCACAGCCACTGCTGATCTCTAGCCATGGCCCCACAAAGCCATTCTGCAGGATGTCCAAACCTGCTTTTCTCAAGGCCCTCATTTCTTCTGCTGCTGCCCTTCCCTCCTACAGTTCCCCAGCAGCCTTTGAGCCCAGATGCTGCTCAGCTCTTGGCATGCTCGCTGCTCTCCAGCTCCCACACATCCATCAGCTCAGGCTCCCTGGCATTTGGGAAGTTCAGCAGAGCTCCCTGCCCTGCTGCTCTCTGCAAGTTCTCTGCCTGCCCAAGCTGCTCCAGGGCCCCCATGCCTTGGTCAGGAATGGGGCTGGAGCCACTGGTCATAGATGCACACCCACCCCTAGTATCCCATCATTTCTGGCCCAGCTAAAGAGCCAAATCAGGGCCTGTTCAACTTGACTGAAAGGGTTCAATTCCTGCCAGGGAAAAGGTCTCAGAGCTCTGCCAACAGCACATAAAATGAAAATTTACTACACTGGACTTAGATTGGTCTCCTTACCTTACTTCCTTTTTCCTCAGAAGTGATCTCTTTGCCTCTAATCTCCTCATCCCAGCCGCTGCCAAGTTTCCCACTCTCCTGCTCTCTACTCCGTATCTTGTTTGCCATGGGAGAAAGAGAGCTCTTGGGGATGGGAAGCAATGGCTTGGAGGGAAGGAGCATTGATGGACTTGCCAAGGGAAACCTCTTGGCAAGAGGGTATCGAGTCAGGCCTGCAAGGTGGAGACACAAAACGGATCAGAGCCTACAATGCAAACCTAAATTATCTGAAGCTCCATATTTCATGGGACACATTCCTTGGAAACTCCTAAACACATGCACAGGGAAACTTGAATCAGGCCAGGGGGAAAACACTGAGCCACTTCCCCAGAGCTACCACAGGCACAGCCTGGCCTCTGGGCTGCGCTGGGACAGGAATGCCTCCTGTGCTCTCCAGGAATGCCTCAGCTGCACATGCACCCTCTTGCTGCTCTCCCTGCCCCACAGCTCAGCAGCCCTGCAGCTCCCTTCTATCCACACCTTTTCCTTCCATGGTCTTTGCTTTTCTGCTGAAATCCATCTTCAAACCCGTGCTTCTGCCAGGCAGAAGTGTCAGGGTTTGAATCTGGGATGGCTCTGGGAGGTGGCAGTGACGGGAGCTTGGTACCCAGCCTTAGAACAAGGCCTAAGGGTGACTCCAATCGCCAGCGCTCGGCACAGAGAGGCAGAGCCAGACGCGTCTGCTGCCACTGGGGCCGTGTCAAGCACAACCTGCACCAGCCCAGCCTGGGGCTGCCCCTTTGTGACACGCTCCCCATGCTACTCTCATTTCCATGGCTGCAAAACCCCACCCCAACTCCATCCCCTTCCATTCCCTTCCCTTCCCAAGCCCTGCCAGGCCTAGCCGGGCCTAGCCAGGCCTGAGGCTTTCACACTGTCTAGGATGTAGACCCTTCCCAAAGCTACTTTTCAAGGCCTTGAATTCTATAAGTCCCTCACAGTTCTGGGTTGCAGCTTGTTGGTGTGGGATTTGGTTTATTTCCCTTCACATCAAACAAAGCAGCGCTGGGACACACACAATGGCATCGGTCAGTGGAAGTAAAAGCAGCTTTGCACTCCCCAGTGGATGAGCCCAAAATTCAGTTGGCCAAGAGCTGTAGGGATCAAATTGACAATCCAAATATTCTTCTTTTTCTCTACTTCAGTGTTCTATGGGCTATTATTCCTGCTTTTTTATTGCAAAGACACCCAAACCAAACTTAAACCTGACCTGCCTCAAAACATGTCTGATCTTGGCTAATACTGTCAATTGAAATTTTTTAAAAATAATTAGCAGAGGGCAAGTCATTCTGAAATACTCCCCAACACAGCTGTTAAAAGGAAGAGAACTAATTCTTTGCATGGTTCCATAGAGGGTTAAACCATGTGGCATCCAAGACTATGAAAGGAATACCTGTCTTAAAACTGGATTCCTTTCCCTCTGTAAAATGTCCCAGTCAGTAATCAAAGACACACAGGTATGGATTAATGAAATAAGTCATTCCTAGTCCAGAATTTATCCAGAAAAAAAATTACCTTCAACAATGACCGATACTTCTCCTTAACTGCAAGCAGCATTCCACTTGCATACCAGCAATGAAGGAATCGTTCCAAAGGGGCCATACCCAGGATTTGGCAGAACTAATCCTAAACCAAGGAACCAGGGGGATCTGATCCCTTTTCCTACATCAGCAGAATTAGTTCTCCAAGTCTCATCTCCTATCATTACACAGCCCAGAGGTGCCAAAGGAACAACAACAGCATCAATGAGGCTTTCAACTCGGAAGCATTGCCTGACCCAGATGCACCAGACCCAGCATTTTGTCTGGCACAGTTCCACTTGTCAGGAATCAGGCAAGGCAGGGACAGGCACAAGGCATCTCCTGCCCCAGCCTCAGCCTGCAACACTGACACAGGCAGAGACAGCCTGAGAACAGATTTGTCACTGTGACCCTGCCATAGGTGGCTTTGGGACTGTGCTGTCAGAGGACAACAAACTCACACCCTTCCTTGGCTGCATCCCTTCGCAAGTCTCCCTCTCCTTCATTGGAAAAGTCAAAAGGACTTTCTGTCATAGGAGATTTTGTTATTCCTCCCAGTGCAAAACCAGGCAATGTCCATGAATCTCCTTCACATCTCAAAGGTTTCAGATCAGAAAATACCCTAGGGAAAGCTTTTCTCCTTCAACGTCAGGTGGAAGGAGTGGGAACATTTCTCATTTCCTGCTAAATGCCTTCCTTTTCTAGTCTCATTTTGACACTAGAAAGGCTGCAAGGAGATCAAAGGCATGTGCAGGATGGAGAGCAATGTTTCCTTTTCAGCGCTGCATTTCCAGATCCCCTAGGTACCACTCCAGCTCCTTCCACTCAGCTCTTCACACTGGAGGAATTTTCACTGCAACACCAGAGAACACTCCCAGGGACTGGGTTTCTGGGGGAGTTCACTGAGCCCATCAAGGAATTGAAATGAATTTAAAGAAATTTTTAAAAGAATGGGTTTTAACCAATCTTTCCAAATGTCACCTCTAAGTCCAGACTACAAAGGTCATTTTAGGACAGACATGCCTTGAACCTACCTGAATGTTCAGAGGGCTTCTCTTGGCTTATGCTGCTGGATCTTGGCCTGGAGAAAATGGAGGCCAAAGAACATATGAGGAGGTAGAATGAGAAGGGAGGGAATGGGCGTAACCATGAAAGGAGACCAAGCTACTTAGCATGGTCACTTCTATGAAGGAGGGAATGCAACACCAAAACCCAAAAGGATAATGCAAATATTATTAATTGTCCTTAAGCTTTGAGTTTCTGAAGTCACACAGAGCTGGCCAAGCTCTGGCTGAAACACAGCAGTCATTCTTCAACTTGCACCAGAACTCCCCAATTCTGCTGCCTCTCCTTTCAGAGCCAAGTATCTCCTGCAGCCTCTCTGAAGCAGCAAGAGCTGCTGGGCTGAGACACCAGCCTGGATGGAGGGCAGCTACTTTTGTACTGCTCACAAAGTTTGACTTTGCCTGCTCGTGCCTTGCACTGGTGGCAGCCCCGTGCTACACGTGGGCAGAGCACTGCTGCCTCCTGAGAATGATATTACACCTCCTGGCTCTTTCCAGAACAAAATGGCTTTTTCCAATTTAGCTGCTAGGGAAGGATATTCACAGTGCACTTTCAAAGCCCTACCAAAGATTTTCAATTGGAATGATACTTCTGTGGCTCCCTCTTTATGGTTATCACTTGGATAAGCTTCACAACTATATTTTCTCACACGTATCCAAGCCCATATCTTCCCATCAGGTACAGTCCTAGAACTCTTCTTTAGTACCTTGACCTCTTTGATCTTAAGCCCATATCTAAACATTAAACATGAATTGGATTATACATCTGCATCCCAAAATTTATCAGGGATCTCCTTTCACAGTGGAGGCCCAGGAACGGAGAAATTACACCTGATGTTTACAGAAGCAGCACCTGAATTTGCAGATACTTCTCCAGGAGCCAATATTTGCCCATGCATATTCTCCTGGCTGCAGAATTTAACAGTCAAGGATCTCAGCATTCAAAGTACTGCAGGATCCAGACCCATGCAAAACACTTCCCAAATGACACCACAACAATTACAGGGGGAATCAAGAGCCAAGTCCAGCAGGGGACCCATCCTGAGGTGCTTTGAAGCCCTGCCTCCTCTTCCCCACCACCACCTCTGCTCTTGGGGCATTGCTGTTGGCTTTGACATTGGATGGGGAAAAATGGTGAATACACAGAGGCTTGCCTAAATGGGAGGCTGTGCAAAATGATGACAGGAGATGGGAAGAGTGAGGTGAACAGCACACTGCAGCAGCAGACACCTTGGCTTACCTCATCTCCCCGGACTCCTGCAAATCCCGTTGGGGAGAGTTTTGGACAGACCCTGCAGCACTTCCAACATGGGAGCTGCTTGCCTTGCAAATTGGGGGGATCAAAGGCAGTCCAAATGATGCCTTCTTCATTTCCCCACCTCTGGAATGTGGCAAGGAAGCCTGGAAAGAGTAGAACACAGTGCTCAGATCAAGCATCCAGCCTTGACCCCATTTA